ATAGACACACATGTCCTACATGTCATTTTTCGTCCTGCGTGGTGTCTTATGTGTATTTTGCCATGTAGGACTCATGTGTTTATTTATTTAAAAGTTGGATAGTTAAAAGTGCATGTTTGTGCATTATGAAAGTTAGAGGTCAAAGTTAAAATTAGAAGTCAAGTTTAGGGTCCAATACATGTATTATGCCATTAAAATATATTGTTAATCTGCTTTTGGTGTACAAAGGTTTATTCAGATGAGACTGTTTAGGATTGCAGCCTCCATTTTGAATTTATTTTCTTTTCTCTATTCGTAATTATGGATTTTCCAGAACAAACTAAGTAAATTTAATACAAATGTTACCAGATTTTAAAAAACAATATTACTAGATGATAGATTTTATGCAATGTCTTTTCCTCTATCCGATCTGTCTAGCTGTCAAAAAAGGGTATCTCTTCATTACAACAGTACAGATTAAACAAAAAAGATCTTTTGACTCTCCCTACATCTTTCTCTAGACTATTTTTTCTCCCCTCCTCCCCTACTATGTGACTGAAGCACTGTCAAGATCTTTAACTGTCCTTCCACCCTACTATGTGACTATACAAATTGTGGCAATACACTGGCCAAACGAACACTCTAAAGTAGATACAAGCTACTAGCCAAATACAATTATTATGAAGATTAATGAAGAAACTAATTTAAAAACGTAATATTTTAGTGACACAAAATGGCATGAAATAAGAATAAATGTCTTACATAAAAGACCAAACAAAGAACATTTTCAGGAAGATACCTGTTCTGGAGTCTTCTCATGATATCGGCTTTGGGAGACACCTTGCGCAAGTAACTCCTTCACCCTGCCAGCAGAATAGAGTTCAGCAAGGCAACCATGCGCTTCTGCAACAAGTGCCATCCTGAACGCACAGAGCCCAAGTTGAGCCATCGCTCTGTTAAAAAGTATCTGAGTTGAAATGTCCATGTGCTGGATATTTTCCTGCAAGTGACTCATCAATAACAAGTCACGGGATGTTGAAAACTCATCCAAGATAGCATGGTGATATATATCACAGAGCATTGCACGGGCCTTGGTTCGTTCATCTCCATATTTATATATGAGAGAAACGAGACTGTCCATCAATGTCCTGCTGTTCTCTTCAAAAGCAGGTTTCCTGGGCACAAGTTCAGGAGTTGCAATAAATGCAGATGGACCTCTACTCTCCTCAACCACTTTGTTTTCTTCTACAGACTCTGCTTCTCCACCTTCTGTGAGCTCAGCCAATTTCCTCATAGCATCATACACTCCTTGCGGTTTATAATAGATAAATTCAACCTGTTTAAGAGCCACTTTGGCAGCACCCTTATAGTCACCCACCTGTTCTAAATAACGCTGGACATTTTGAGCAAGAACCAAAAACAACGGCTCATCCCTCAGCCTCTCAACATACTGGCTGGTATGTGGATCAATTACCTGCAAGCTCTTGAAAAACTCTACATCAATCCTTTCAACAAAGGCAACCAAGTTTCCCCAGATCCTTATAGTTCCTGAGTGGTCTGCTCCTTTCTGAGTCTCATTCTCATCAGGCTCCACCATGTCATCAACCACAATGTTTGGGTATTGGGTCAAAACATCAAGGATTGTAAGCATATTTTGCACACACCTTTTCCACACATTTATAGGCATGTGTCCACTGAGACCTGGATTGATATCAAACTGCGCAGACACAACACCAAACAGAATTTCAAGCTTCTGTGCTGGAGTCTTGGCCACCTTGGTCAAGAAGGTGAGCTGTTCGACCAATTCCATCTTTCCAGTCCCCTTTCTACCCCTAGCAGCAACGATTTCCTTGAACTTCTTGTTGACTATCTCCCACGTGATTTGACTCGGATCTTTAAACTGTTTATCCAGAAGTTTGTCTTTCTTGTTCACCTTCTTCTCCCACCCATCACCTATCGTGTCCGGATCATCATCATCATCAGATGCAGATGCAGCTGCAATCTTTGTTGGGTCCTCCTCAAAGTCGTCCTCTTCTTCTTCCTCTTCCGACTCTTCATCATCACCACCCTCCTCCTCGCTCACTGGAGGATTTTCCCTATACTTATTAATCAACTCCTCGTACTGCTTATTATTCTTTTTCAGTTTCTGTTTCATTGAATTTAAGGCTTTAGCATTACTACTACTCATCTTCTTCCTAGTCTCCTTGTTGGCCAAGGCCTGATTCAAAAAATCCTCCAGCATCACTAGAGCTTTGATGTAGAGATTTGGTGGTTTAATAGATTCTGTAATGCGCATGACCTTCTCCAGCTGCTTATTAATCTTGTCAAAGCTCTCCTGCAAGCTAACCCAGTCATTAATCTTCATAGCATTCTTCATCTGATCAACTGTAGCTGACAACTCCTCAAAACGCTTGTCCTTGGCTGACCGGACAACTCGCTTCTGACCATCCGATTCATCACTATCGCTATCATCAGCTGCAAGATATCTTGCCCCAGGCCCAGACGGTGCATCTGGATTTTCAGCTGGCGCATCATCCTCCACCTCGTAATCACTCTCCTCCTCCTCTTCCGTATCACTATCACCCTGCAAATATCATGTATGGACAAATCAGACTACACATTCCCTAACCGAACCATATTTAGGGTTCTAGGCAATAAGGATTATCCTAAGCAGCCTACCACATTACAAAAACAGTTCACTCATTCACAGCACCTCCGTTTCGTCTATAGATTTTGTTACTCATCCAAATAACAAAAAAAAACTAAATCCTTATCCAGTGAAAATACAAAAAATAAAAACAGAGAACTAATTGAAAAATAAGTTACCTGGGTCCAAAAACGGGACGCCATATCTTCAACAAGTTCTTAAAGAAACAGATATAAAATAAGCTGCAATTACACAAAAAAAAATTAAAAAACTGAGTATAAATTATCAAGTAAATTTGTTTTATACAAACGACAAAATGTTGAAGGAGAAGAGATCGAACCTGTAAGTTGCAACTGTGGTTTACAGTAAGGTTGTGGAGTAGGACGAATGAAATTTTCCAGTAAGAACCCTAGAAGATGATAAAGGGTTTGGGCCGATTCGTCTTTGGGTCAATTAATAGAGGACTACTGCAAGTCTTAATTTGGTAACTTTATATTATAGGTAACTTTCACATATAGCAACTAAAAAATAGCTTAATTATTTTTCATATGTATAGTTTGATAATTATAATTCGTAGCTATTTGTTATTGGGAGTAGAGAGGCAAGCGATACTAAGAGAGAGAGGCGAGAGACGGGGCAAAAAGTGAGAGAGATATGAATTGTATATGTATATTGTTAGATAATTGTATATTATACATATATATTTGTATATACGGCAAGCAAAATTGGTAAAGGGAGGAGATAAGCGAGCGAGATTCGGAGAAGGAGGAAACAGGAGAGCGACATTGGGAGAGAGGTGAGCGAGAACGGGCAGACTGGGAGAGAGGTGATTTGTATTTGTATTTTGGTTAGAATTGTATATTATATATATGCATTTATATAAATGGCAAGTGAGATTGAGAGAGAGAGAGAGAGGAGAGAGGTTGGGAGAGGAAGGAGAGAGGCGTGCGAGAGAGGGAAGAGAGTGGAAGAGAGGTGAATTGTATATATATAGAAATTAGATAATTGTATATTATACATATATATTTGTATATTCTGGCGAATTATACATATAGAAATGTGATTAATTATACAAACTCAAAGTCTGTCTATGGAATTAATGTATCATGTTTGTCGTGAGTGATAATTATAGCAAATTATAACTATGATGAGTAATTAAATAGTATAAATATGTTTAACCGCATAATTTTCCCACTCCTTAAATTTATTAGGAAATTCTAGGTCTAATAGTATGGCAGTAATTAGCCAAATAAATATTAACAACAATAGCAATTGTAAGTACATAATGTAAACATAACCAAAATAACATACTACATATTTACATTTCACTTATAAATTAACGTGTAAATTTAGTTGATATGTATAGTAATTCTAGTATGAAACATATATTATATTTTTCTTATATCTGTAAGATTATTAGTAATAACAATTATAGTTGCAATTACATAATATATATATATATATATATATATACAAAATGTTACATGTATACATAAATTTTATCTATAATAAATTATGTGTAAATTTAGTTGATGTATACGATAATTGCAATTATTAGTATACACTAGTATATTGCGCATATTGGCTATCGTGTATGCATAGTATCAATGACATGTAAATTCAATCTAAAGAAGTGTATATTAGATTATTATAGAGTTCCACATCAATTTATACAAATTAATGGTTTATATATCTCGATTGTCGAGATTCATTTTTATTTACCTATTGAATTTATAACTAAAAAAGGTACAAATAATCTGCAGAAACAATTATTCAAAATTGAAGGATTTTTTACTTTTTCGCTTTAAAAATTACTTTTAATAGTTTAAATATAAATTTTAAAAAATAAAAATAATATAGATGTGTCTTTGACGCCTTTTTTTATTTTTTTAATCTATAGCACTCTTCTTTCTATTCTTTTAATTTTTTCGGTCCAACATGGACCTATTTATTTTGGTCTGTGTTTACAAATGTTGTTATCAAAGATAACTGTGTGAAAAGCGAAGACAAAATGAGAAATGGTTGATAAATAAATTGAGACTACAAACAACAGAAATTTGTGTGGTATTAAATATTTGATGTCAATGTCTAACCCAAAGACTTACCAGAGTCACCCAATCCTCTGCCATTTCATTATCAACATTGAATTGTCCACAAACATCGATTATGGTGGACCGGTGAAAGTGCTTCGACCTTAACCAGATTCAATATAGAGAAAATCCTGTTGAGAGTGTCATCCCCGACACCGAAACATTCTCATTGGTCCAATGAAGTAGAGGTTCTACGATATCATACGTGAATTATGCTACTATATGGACTATTTTTAGTTTAAACAGTTGGATAGACAGTTATTTAGAGACAAGGCACTGACAAATGGTATGAAATTCATAAAATTTCATTGATATTGTTATATATGTATATTTTTAAAGCTGCATTTACAACAATTGAAAATTTACAAGATGTTTACTGCAGATACCAGATACATGCTACAAGGATCAGAGATATAATATTATAGCTGATATGATCCTTTTTTTTCTCATTAGAGCAGTAAAAAGTACTCCTTATATGAGTTATCGGATGCTTACTGGCAATAACGGAGCCAGAATATGAAGGAATAAACATATGAACATTGACGAAAGGGCTTCAGATGAACCCCTTCCTGTACCCTAGCTAGCTCCGCCCATGTTTACTAGTGTCATCTAGAGGTCAAAACTGTGGCTGTTGAAATGGAAAATAGCCTGACGACCTCTTCTCTTCAAGTTCTGGCTTCTGCATTCTTTAGCAATACTGGACTGAAGAGTAGGAGGACCACACACAATTACACCAATATCTACACTTCCCCAGCTCTTTGCATGTGATCCAAATATCTCTGCAGAAACAAAAAGTTAAAAACACATTTTCAAGAAAACAAAGGAGAAGCATAAGGACCTTGTAAAGTTCAAATGCTGTTCATACCTTGGAAATCAGGTCTTTGACCATATCGAATATTATTAACATATCGAGCCTCTCCAAAGTTACTGTCTAAAGAGGCTTCATTCTGCTGCAAGATGTCAGCTTTCTTTGTGGCGTCCTGTGGTTCCTCCTTCGATGAGGTTTTCCTCTCCCAAAGATGCCATAAAGCGATAACGAAACCCCCAAATATAAGAATACTTGCAGTCATGCATCCAATCAACAAAAGCCCCTTGTACCACCAGTAAGTTATATTGAATGGATTTATGTAGAAAATGTCCAGCAATGCTACAGTGATCACAAACCCTATGGTGGATACTATGACATATAATCCAGACCATACGACATGTCCAGTACCAACCAAACCAGACATTCGACATCCTTTGAAGCCAGGGGAGATTGAGTGGTGCATTGCTTTGGGTGTTTTACCCTCCTCCTGAGAGATAAACGAAGCAATAATTAGTAACACATATAAATAGGGTGATGATACATAAACAAAATGAAAATAGGCAGAAACTTATTACCAATGAAGGCTGTGATTCCCGTGTCACATATGTTTGAATCTCAAGATTCAGTTTATCAGAGAAAAGTGGACAGATTGCCTCCATGTCAACTGTTTCAAGAAGTGGAAGCTCATCTGAGTTTTTGATAGCCCATACTATTAGTATATTTCTTGGCAGGCAAGGCGAGCTATCGTTGATACGGTGGAGGATATCACTCAGGATAGCTAGGAAGGGAGAAATTCCAATTCCACCTGCTACCAAAATGAGATTTTCATACCTGAGAGGAGAAACATGTTCAAGGCAATTAATTAGTCAATGACTTCATAACTGAAAAATAAATAACTTGAATATTCAGCAGATATTGCTGCGGATTTACATACGTTAAGTGGTATGGTGATTCATGTCCATAAGGACCTTCAACAGAAGCTGTAATTTTCCTGTTATGCAGCAAAAGAGGCTCCGTCTCAGATTCTTCTACAGAAAGATTCAAGATGTTTCCCTTCAGTTTTTCAGTCCAATCTCCAAGAACCTTTATGAGAATCGCAAGATGATGTTTGCCATCAAGGGGACTAGAAGAGACACTGAAAGGGTGCCACTGCAGCCAGGACAACTCGCGTATTTGTAAGAATATCCAGCCAAGAGCGTTGTAATGTAAATCTACATCGTGAGGGAAGAAGTGTTAGAATCACTGAAAAATGCAGCAGTGAGTAAATCAGTTGAGTCAAAGATTTATTCTTACTTGCAGGTTTTGAAATAACGAGTTCAACGGTTCCACAAGGAAAGCATGTGGCCGAAAGTATGTCAACTGTCTTTCGTGACTGGAAGAATCTAAGGAACCGATCAAGCATGAACAGGAAGATCCCAGCTCCAGCCATCATGAAGACGAAATCACCAACATGCAAAGCCAGGAACACCACAAACACCACATACAATTGGTGTGTATAGAAGAACAGCTCAAAGTTTTTTCTCCTTACTCCAGGAAGTGAAGTCAACCACATCAATAAACCAGCTAAAAGGCTGATAACTCCTGGAAGATTGGCTATTCCTATGTTTTTCCAGCCGACTAGCTGCAGTAAACAAAATTGACTAAGTCTAAGTCCCTTCATTGATTACTCTCCATTAACATTAATAAAATTGGTGAAGGTTCTAGTATACGGTACACAAATAAAAGGAATCTCTAGGGGCAAGATAAATGAAACTTTCAGTTTTAGAACTCACTTCTTCCAAAAGTCTCCCTTGAATTGCCCAGCCAATAATATAGAATAGACCATGAAGGCTAAAAATAGCCATAGTAAGATGTCCCAGCCAAACATGATATCTAGTGGCATGTTCAAAAGGGATATCTATGGCTCGAAGAAGAACTGAACCACGTGCAACAGGCAGAAACAAAAACGCTAAGCAGATTAATCCAATGAATCCAAAACGGAGACCTGTCAGCTCCAGCAACTTAGCACTGAAAATATTATCACAACATATATATTAGTCAATGAAGCAGAAGTTGTGGAAAAAGAAAACCTTGCTACTAAAGGAAACCTTCAATCCAACAACTATGGACTGGTTCTAAGTCTGAGATAAGCACTATGTGGCTGTAACTGTTAATATCCAGTCACTTCGAAACATTTTCACATGGAATTATTTTTAGATTCAACAGATGCACAATTTACAAACTGGGATGATAAAGAAGAGAGGACATAGAAAACAAAGAGAAAATCCATCTGTTATTCCCGATTTAACACCAGTCGGACTAGATAACGTGGAGCAAATGAATTTATAAGATCATTTAAATCAGTGAAGTGACTAAAATCAACGAATACACAAAATAGCCTGAAATTAGCTAGTGATGCAGAAATTTGATGGTGCTCAACTGATCTAAATCAGTTTGTTTTCATTGGGGGGGACATATATAAACATCAAAAGCTATGATATATTTCATTATTTCAGTAGGTGAGTCTAAATTCTGGTTGAAGAATAGAACAAATCTTTAAGCGACGCCATGTCTAGTTCCTGCTTCAGTAAATTGGGATTGTCAATAATTTGAGAAGAGAGTTTCAGTACTTCCAGAATTCTGGAGAACTAAGAGCTACTGTATAAGAAGATAATATAAGAGCAGAAGTTGAAAGAAAGACCAAAATTAGAACTAAGGGTGTATTTGATTGAAACATTTCTGAATGTAGAGCAGTTGAAGTCCAAAAAGATGCAAAATTATGTGAAATAACTATGGTTCCTTTGGAATACGAATAACGACTTATATAACTCAGACATACAAGTATATTTGATAGGATTAAGGTAACTAGTTCTCTGAAAAGATGATCATTTTTCCAAGCCAGAAAGAATACCATGGTCTAAGTTATAGACAGCTATAGGCCTTAATCAAGTTTTCTCTTCGATTACACAGAAAAAACACACAAGCAGGTAACATATATGATCATAATGACAGAATTACCTTCTCTCTTTCATGTCTGGTAAATGATACAAAGATAAGATGTCAACATTCTGTATACTATACATAACTACAGCCCAGACGATGTAGACCGAGAAGATTATAACGCCAATCATTTCCGCAGCTGTAACAACCCCAAATGGTCCATCCACCAGCACAGGGAATGTCCATAATCTAAAAGTTGGTCCTTTACCAGCCTTCTTGCTACAACAATCAAAAATTCCATATGAGTTCACAGTTCAAATATAACATCATGTTCTTATAATTAAGCTAGCAAACACACAAACACACACATACATTTGAGGTTGATCTTCACCCGAGACAACGAGAAGAATAATTGCAAGAAATGCAATCATGATAATTGGGAAACTGAATAACAAGGATGTGCTACCTGCAATCCAACAGAAACTAAAATTACTCACTAACTACTAACAAATCGTAAACAACAAAAGCAATAAACTTTGAAATTGTTAAAAAACCTGCTGTCCGAAAAATAGATCCTTTGGTGGCTCCAACAATTGTCCCAAAAATTTCATTAGTGAACTTTGTTGGCAACAAGAAAATAAAAGCAGCCCATGAAATAAAAATCACCCACATTAATACTTTGAGAATCAACTTTGTTGATGAGATTAAAAATGGTGTCTTTCTGAGAGAATCAAATTCATTTTCTTTTTTCAAAAGAAGAGGTTCTTGGCTTGAGAGTTCACCCATTTTAGAATCTTTTTAAGCCTATGCCAAAACACACCTAAAGCAGTTACCAATATATACAAAAAAAAAAAAAGCTTTAGAAGAAACCAAAAGCCATCAACACTTAGTACAGAATTTAAGCTGAAATCTGGCACAAATTAGGCCACAGAAAATTGGACCACTCAAAAATTAGCGTTTGGGAAAAGATAAATACTTAGTATTCCTAGAGAAATACGAGGTACTATTAACATTAAAACATCAAGACATAGACCATACTTCAACAACAGTGAATGGTGATGATGAGCTTGAATTATTCATTCATTTGTTTGAAATTCTGTGTTTTTCACTAGTAGAAATATATGGTTGAAATTTGAGTTGCTGTGTAAAATTCAACAACTTTTATTTGAATTGTGTTCTTGTATTAAATTATTCATCAAATATATTAAAATGACACGTGAAACTCATTGAAAGATTGTGTTATCGATCTAACGGCGCAAAAGAAAACGTTCAAGGCTTTAAGCTTTCCTATCCTTGCTTCCAAAATAAAAGATGAAAGGGTAAAGTTAATAATTTCGACATATAATCTAAAGTTAAGAGAAGACGAGCAAAATAAGACATGAAATATAAATGATGACAACAATAGAAATATAGAGATAAGATATAAGAGTATTTTTTTATTTTTTAAAGTATTCGTCAAATCTTTAAGTATTCAATATGAACGCTTATACCTGTATCTAGGGGTGTACATAGGTCGGTTCGGTTTGATTTTTTATTGTAAAAAATTTAAATCAATTATATCGGTTTATTAAATCTAAAAGTCAAATTAAACGATATAAAGTCATTTTCTCGGTTTCGATTTTATTTAAAAAGTGATAAATATTTTTTCACTGCGTCTGTGATAAACTTAACTTAAAAAATGTTAACTAAATAGAAATTTTTGAAAAGACTGTCAAATTCACACGAGTACAAAATAGTTTTTTTTGAAATATCAACGCTCATTATGCTAAACTAATAAGATTAAAAATTAGATGCAAACTGAATACAAAAGATATTTACAAAGTAGATTGTTAACTTCGAATTTGAAAAACTATAACAATATAATTATAACTTCGGATCTTAACACAAAATATAACATTTACAATTTTTACAAGTCCAAATTTGAAATCAAATAGATAAACATTGAAAACTATAAATTAACTTAAAATATATTAATAGTTATAAATAAAATAAAATTATATATATATATATATATATATATATATATATATATATATTTACAAGCCCAAATTTGAAATAAGCCGTACAAAATTGAAAATTATAAACTAACAAAAAATATATCAACAAAGTAGATTATAAATAAATAATTTTATCTATAAATAAAATAAATTATACATATATATATACACACATTGAGAAGTATAAACTAACGAAAATTATATTAGCAAAGTACATTATAAATAATATTTTTTAGCTATAAATAAAATAAATTATATATATGCATATATACAAAATTTTACAAATCCAAATTTGAAATAGAATATATAAAATTGAAAATCATAGACTAACTAAAAATATAATACCAAAGTAGATTATATGTAAATAATATTTTTTATCTATAAATAAAATAAAGTATGTAATATGTATGTGTCGGTTTGGTTTGAGTTCGATTTAATTCTTTTTTTTCTAATACCAAACCAAACCAAGAGTAGTCGTTTTTTTTTCCAATCACCACATCAATCAAACCAAACCACAAGTCAATTTTTTTTTCGGTTTGATTTGGTTCATCGGTTCGATCTGTACACCCCTACCTGCATCATAGAAACATATAAAAGATTAGTCAAAGAAAATGCGATGTAATTAGCCCTTCAAAGAAAACAACTTATGATTATGGAGGGAACATAGTGCTTATGTGCTTTATAAATAGCTTAATAAGAAAAGTGGAAGAAGAAAAATAGTTGTAACCCTATGATTATACAAATACGATTTTTCCCGTTCAATTTTCTTGTCTTTCTCTCTTTTTTGTTTTATACAAATATATATTATACAATTGTTTTTTTCTATATGTATGTCTTTCTCTCTTTTTTGTTTTATACAAATATATATTATACAATTGTTTTTTTCTATATGTATATCAAAACAGATTATACAACTGCTATCTTTTGTATATGTATAACGAAGTATACATATTTATATTTGCTATGAAGAGCAATTATGCAAACTGTGGTTATAGCATACAAATATGGTTTTTATATTTGCTATATGTGAAAATTGCTCAACTTTATCCAATAGAAAGATGTCATGTAATAATTATTAATAATAATAATTAAAAACTATAAGACTATTAGTTTATAGAGCAATATAAGACAAAAAAAGGTTGTATGAGAGTATTTTTGACCACATAGGTGAATCAGAGGTATTTTTAGACCTTTTCGAATAGACAAATAGTACAAGAGTATTTTTAATCCTTTTATTCATATATTTAATGACATCTTACCGTATTTCATAACCGCGCGAAGCACGAACAAATTCAATAATAACCAAATAAAACCAAACAATGGCGTGGCTCTTCCATGACCTAAAGATATCCTACAATTAGTTGCTAAAAGACACAATATTTTTTATGATCCGTAATTTCTTGGAAGTGTGCAAATAACCATACAGAAAACGATGGAGTATTTATGAACGTAAAACTACTCAAATTAATGTGATGTGAGCAAATTGATTATGACACTTTCTAAAAGAATAAACTAGAGTCACTCATTCCTCACCCAAATTCAACATCAGCAACAGAATCTGTCCATTTGTGGGGACATCAAACATCTATTTGAGGAATCTTATGGTGTATTTTCGATTTCATTGTCCGTTTCATATCGTCTTCGTCTCATATTACTTGTTTACGTTATTATAAATCTCTCAAATTAATATTATTTGTCACTTTACAAACTCAAGATATAAATTATCTCATAATATGTTGTATCGTAACGTATTGTTTTGATGAATACAATGTTTGGATATATTGTATTGTTGTCTGTCGTTACATAATATCATTCATCCATAATTTAAATGATAAATCTACAAAAAAAAAAAAAGCATTAAGGTATAGAGTAGCGTTACTATGAAAAGATAGGGTAAATGTAAAATAAAGACAAAATGAGAAGAAAATATTAAAATAACAATGCAATCACATGAAATCGGTCATTACACAAAATTAATCTTTTTGTTGTTACTTAATAATGAATTTAAACGATACAATAAAATTTAGTATGATTTACATAAATCTCATAGTGTTAAGAGCTAATTACATTATTTCCTATGGATTTCGGATGCATCACTAGACTTCCAGATACACCGGCAAAGGATGTGTCCGAGAGGGGAGAGATATATCATAGAGGGAATAGGAAAATTCAAATACATCACTGACTTGCTTATACCTCAGGCATAAGTGAATCTGAAGGAGATTTTTTATTTTTCTTTAAATGGTAGAAAATTTTAAAAATTATGATAAAATAAATATTTAAGTGGAAATCAAAACAAAAAGTCGCACTTAAACTAACATTCTAGTACAACGAGTAACAATCATCCAGCAGATGAGGAAATCAGAAAAAAAGGAAGATATTGAATTCCACCAGAAAAAGCATGATAGGACACACCTGACTACCAAGGAAATTCAGCTTCTTGTCTAAGGCAAGGAATGATTTAGAAATCTGGAAAATTTATGCTGCAATTGAATCCAGCTGAAGAGGAAATGTGACAAAAGATAGAAAGAAATTGAACTCCACCTGAAAAACTGTAATATGACATACCTGACTGACATGGAAAACCTACTTTATTGTACATGTTTTCACATTTCACATCGGGTTCAAGCCACATCCATGGGCTTGTCGCCAGCCTCCTCGTTCTTCACAGTTTGAAGAGCTTCCTCCAAATGCCTTTCTTAAGCTTTTCTCAATGTCCGTACTACTACTAGAACATACGAACTAGCACAGGAATTCCAGGGGAATAACAGACGCCAGTAAAATCGACTGTTAGTGAAGCTTAATTGACCACGGAAAGACAAAAAGGAAACAATGAGACAAAAGGTAAATAAAAGCACGGATATTGAAGGGAGAAGGATGGGTAACTTTCTCCGGGAAAGTCAACACCTGAAATGGCAATCTATCTAACTTCGCCATGATTGTACTACTTGCAGCGACCTGTTTCTTAAAATCGCAGTTTGTACGCTGAAGTTTTCTTTTCTTTCCTTGACAGCAATTTTTTGCTGAATTCTGGCACCTTTATTCCTAAGAAAACAACACATACCAATACAATCAAAAGTGAGTGAAAAAGCTTAATCAAACATGGAAAGAGAAAAAAAGTAAATAAATTAAGAAGGGAATGCTAAGGAAAGGGCTAGCATAACTTTTCGTCATGAAGCAAATATTTGAAAGGGGTATATATCTTCATAGTTATGCCAATAACTTGTTCATAACTTTCAGCAACAGTTGTCATCCCTGGAGCACCTATCTTGAAAACAAATTTTGCACAACTCTATAGCATAGGTGTTCTAGGAGAACAATACAGAAAAGCAGAAACATGTGTGAGTGAAGAGACGAGTAAAATAACGGCAAGGAGTAAGAATATACATGGTAAGTATTAATGGCTCACAATTGAAGAGACAGAACTTCCCATAAGCAGGCGGTGATATCATAAGCCATGTGCTACAGCTCTGACTTGTAATTATCCAGACAGAACAAACCATCACTTCTACTATTACGATAATGATCTGTTAAACTGTCTTCTACTCTCAAGTTGTTGTAGGGAAAAAGTAGCACAATAAAATTGGTGAGGCCATGACAGAATACCAACAGATTGGGTGGATCTAGTATGTACTTGCAAGTATTGTGAGGAAGCAAAATGTAGATTTGAGATAAGTGTTGATGGCTTGCAACGGAAGTTGGCAGAACATCTTATATCAAGCAGTGAAGTCATACACAAAGATGCTATTGTCAAACAATAAGGAGGAAGCTCCAATATTAGTTATAGATGAGAATGTTCAACTGCAAGACGACCAAAAGGCCATGATGTTACCATACGAGGACAGAATAAGGATGTAAAACATTTTATAATACCAAAAGCTACATTTATCTCTATGTGATCTCCGCACACATGCGAATATAATTTTTGTACCTGCAGATGATGATAACATTAGATTCAAAGGATGTTATCAGATTGTACATAAAACCACCATAAAACAAAGGACAGTGAAACTTACTGAATCTAGACTCATAAGGTTATTAGTTTCAAGTGGTACCTAATTCGAAATGAACAAAGTATTAAACTAGCTACTTCTCAGCATGGCTGCAAAATCATGAAGAGGTGTAATGTGATTTACTTTCTTTAGTTATTCCCTCATAACGGTATTACCATGATTGGAAGTGACAAGTCGGTGGTCTCTTCCCAACTCTCCAGTTTATTCCTTCTGCCAAGTGCTCCTTGGTCGGTGTCAACATTACAAAGTTTGGATCTCAGCCCTTTCATAACTGCAATTTTGAAAGATGTCAAACACTAGAAATTTTCAAAGCAGGAATTGGGCTAAAAAGTTCCCATGAATTGATTTTAGGCCAGGAATCAGGAAATCAACATTTTAATTTAACGTCTATATCTTTCTACCTATTTTTCCCTGCCTTCCCACTAAGATCTACTATGCTAATGGTAGATCCTTTGTACAACCTCCAAGGTCAGCACCAATCTCCACCAGATACCCCCCCCCCCCCGGTCAAATGAACCACCTAATACAACCAATGAGCAATCGATACCTATTGATAATGTCAGCACTACCAACCTGAGATCTGACACAATCTACCATCACAATGTGACCAAATCTAAAACACCATTGACTAGGTCATCTAAATTGGGGTAAAAGAAGTAGAGAAAATATACTAAAGCATCTTTCATTCAAATATACAGATATCAACAAAAGGAAAGTTCACATGTACTGTGGTTCTATCAAAGTATCTAAAAGACAAACTCCAAGCATGACATATACCTGTAGATACACAAGTATTTCACATACGAATGCATGTCAGGAGATATTAGCCCACTTACAACGTTGATATTAAAATGATTTTACAAGAAAATCATGTCCACACCTTTACGTTGCAAAAGACAGTCACCCTGGAAATTCACAATGCTAATAAATCCATTGGAAGAGGTGATATGAAAAAAATACATAAACATATTGAACTCCGGCAGAAAAAAGGAGAGCATAAAATCAAATTGGAAATGCAATTGATAGGACAAGCCAGACTGCCATGGAAACTTAGCTTCTCGTCAGTGTGTTTCGATTTCACATTGGCTTCAGAAAACTTATTATTGTGAATAAGATACAATTTTCTCAAAGATACATAGCATACAATTGACAGGTAAAAATCTGGCTGTAATAGAAACAAAACAACTTAGTTTCGTAAAAAGGGGAAAGGCTCGCTGATTCATATAAATTCCCTATGTAACTTCTTTTAGACACACAATTATTGTATCGATTAAATTGAGTTGACCAGTTTCAATAAAATAAATTACTGCTAAAAGGTGATTCTGTGAACAGTAAACAAAAACTGATTCCAAGTGTAAGAAAAGTCTGAGATATAAAATGACATATACCTTTGTACTTCACCAAATAGCAAGAGAAAAGATTATTTCTCCAGTATTAATTCTGTCAATCATAGTCACATCATATTGGCTGTATTATCTCTGATAATTCAGCTCTTACCTTCACCTTTAACAATGGAAGAGATCAAAAAAGCATAAGCAGCTCCAGCTTCCTTGCTAAGGAGTCTCCGCCAACGAGAAGCAATGCAAAGCTCAAGTGGACTCGTCCACTATAACACAATAAACTGCCACATAATAAACAAGACCAAAAGAATGTGATTTATCAACTCCAACTATAGTACTTCATTGCATACTCACCAAAGTAAACACATTTTTTTCAGGATTAAAGTAAGCACTCTCTTTACCAGGAGAAAAACAGATTAGTGCATTATTTGTAACAAGTTATTGAAGACTATCTGCACATACATTTATTTTACCCAACACTTGAAAGTGGGAAGCATTGTCTCATAAAAAACCTTTTTCAGCAAATCCGCTTAATAAATCACCCATAGAAGTCGCTAGATCTATAAGTGAACAAAACAGCAGTAAAGGTAAGAGAAATGAATGGTGACCCATCAGCAAATATACCTTGATAATAGTTTGAATGTTCAAACTAGAAGAATTGTCAGACTTGGAAAACAGCAAACACATTGTAATACGAAATACAGTACTCCAATCAGTAAAACAAATATGTATGACATGTCCTTGTTAACATTGGCCTGTTTGTTTTTGCAACCAAAAGAAGCTAGAAACATGGTTATGCATTGTTTTCCCATAACAAAAGGGAGATTTCTTTGTTCTGCGGGAACAACTGTAATGCAAGGACCTTGTTGGTCAGGGGTCCTTTTTAATATTTTGAAATCTTATATGATTAGTAATAAATAATGATGTTTAGCCACTTCTGACATATTAATTTCACCCATATTAAAGTTTCAAAAAATGATTAGGTGTTTTGAAATTGTTTTTGACAGAAAACAACTCAAACCAATTCTCACTCGCACAAAAAAAAATTACTAATCTTAGCTAGGTTGATCGAGCCTCAATTTTGATTTATCATAATGTCTGACTGTAAAAAGCAGGAATTGATTATTTCTAGATAAGAAGTCTTCACAGCAGGTCATTTCAGTTTTGATCTACTAACCTCGAGAATCCAACAAAGGGTATGCATCAGTTTAATGGTTCTGAAATTCGGCTAAGCTTGGTCGTTGCTTGATTTAGCATTTCATGGAGAGGTTGTTGTGCTGTAACACAGAGAATTAGGGTTAGACAGAGTTGTAGCAGAAGAGGTTTATGCTTGAGCTTACCTGAATGGAATTTCATCCATGGGAAAGAATTCTCGAAGTTGTGCACGCAGACTTAGAGAAGATGAAGAGACAAGGATTTTGATGAAGAGAATGGAGCTCAAAGCCTCTCTTTTAAAACCAAAGCTTGCATATCATCTGAATGGCTGTATTTTGATGTTGCTGGTGTAAAGAAAACATAAGAAACCATAGTTAAAATGGCCAGACAAAAAGGAAGCATAACAGGCACATATACTGTCTCCATAAGCTGGGCTAGAAGTACCTAAGCACCAATATGTATGTATGTTCCAGCTCAACTTCAGCTACATTAAATAATCAAAACAGCTCTACATACAGTAATGATCAACAAAAATATATTTCATCTCCCCCCCCTTCCCCCAAGCCACCCATTTTCTTCTGGGAAGGCAGTACAGCCTGTACAGGTAAAGTAAGTATTTTATTGCAAATGAAGCACCAGGAAAGAGATGTACATGAACATCTTAAAATAAAAGCAAAACCAAAATGTAAGCATCAATATTTTGTGTTGTGTACAGCCATACAAGTTTGGGACGTGGTACAGGTAATTGGAAGTATTTCATTGCAAATGAAGCACAAGAAATGCGATGTGCATCAACATCTTACTGTAAAAGCACAAATGAAAAATTTCAGCATTGATATTTTGTGTTGTGTAACCATACCAGATTTCCCAACTACAAAAGTGTAAGTGTAAAACCACAACATAATAAATAAAAGAACATCTGTAAAAAGATATTAATGAACACCAACAGTCAAAACACCCTATCAGTTGAGTAATGCATGTAATCCTATAGACTACAACAACCATTCCAAGTTATGAACATCATAGTTGTCAGGCAAAAGAAATTACGTACAGCAACATCAATACAATAGAAAAGATGATGGTGGTCCAACATTTTGCAGAAAGATTACCATATCTTTATCCCATCAGCACCAATCCATCTCGTGAAACACCAGATCCTTCAAAAGAAAGTACCACTTAAGACGATGAAGTAAAAAAAAAAATTGAGCAGAACTTTCTGCACATCAATATGCATTAGAGCAATGTCAAAGGAACCAATACTAACCATTGTTATCCACCTTAACATAGCAGGTTCCAATGCCATAGCAATAGATACCTGGTGGAAATTGGGTTAAGTTCAAACTAGGTGTACACTACTAATAAGAATGATAAACGTAAAAAAACCAGTCCTATAAGGAAGTAGATCTCATGGAAAAAAGAAATAGAGTAGTGATGAAAGAACATTCATTTGGAAAAAAATAATTATGATACTAGAATGGAACATCATACTAAGAGGAAAAAAGGTAAATTAATTTTCATGTGAAGTATACATACACCCTCAGAAGTAGCATATGAAGGAACATAAGAATTCATCGAAGAGACTCACTGCTCACTTTCCATATTCTCAGCAACCCACCTCTATTGATCCTCAAAACATTAACAAAATCAGAAAACATATAATTTCCCATTCTCTTACATGGCACAATTTCAACTTTTAAGAAACAACAAAAATAAAAAATCTAGACCATTGTAAAGGAAAATAGCCATTGAGGGCGAAAACCTGTCCACTTGAGTTTCTTCTTCAAAATACTACAAATCACAACTTCTTATAATTAAACTATTTTTTTTAAGTTATGCGAGTGGGGCCTTCAGAAACAACTCCACGTCTCTCCATTAAATACATAATAAAATCATAAATCTTAAGTCATGAGGATATTAATAATGACCAGTAAATTAGTTATGTCGAGCTTAATTTTTCTTATGTCGATAGTTGAGTGCTAAATAGTTATGCGGATATTACTTTTCTTATGCGCCAACACATTTTATACTATTTATGCGGAAGTTTATGCTGAGATTTATATTTGCTAATGAGTCCAACCAAATGATCCCTAAGAGAAACAATCGTTTAAAGTAAATGCATTATAAGAAATTTCATAAGAAACCAAAATTGGCCGATTATGCAAAGGAAAAAATAGAACTGATCAGTTATATCAGGTGTTATGCTCCCCAATCGGAATAAACTTCTTATCAACCTGTTTGAGAACTTTGGCACCCGCCAGGCAGTTTTTATCAATGGTATCAGGAGTCAATGAATCGCTAACAAAATGCAAGACGCCAAAAGTGACACTGAGTACAGTATACTGATTATTAAGATTCTCTGTTCCAGCACTGTTCTGCATCTCAATAGGAAAAGGTAAAGTTCATCATCTTAATAAAATAGAGAAGAAGCAAAAACATCCAACATATAGCTAAGGTACTCAACTGTAATCCCTGGAAGTCCCTCCATTTTATCCCAGAATCTAAAAACTTCTAATTTTGTTGGTACAAATTCTGAAAAATCGATTAAAGAAAAGGTCAGGACAATATTATTACAAGATCATAACATAAGCAAGATGGAATTTGAAAGAGACTATGTGGCCTAGGAGTCTTAGAAAGATACATTGTAATCTCTAATGCTTCTATGATTAATAAGAATGCAGTCTAAGATAATGTTGAAAAGTAGGTGAAAGAAATGAAGCTAATTAACTGAAACAAGCACTAGGAACATTCAGCTCTTATTCAGGACAGGGACAAGAAACAGGATGGTTTCCTTCTTTTAACTCCCCATCGTGTGTACATGTACACTCCCCTTGAGCTTGCAAATTGCTATTCCTAATGTTAACAAGTTCCCTTTTCACACTTGGCCTGAAGAGAGGAACATCAGGCCATGTTCATTACTGACATATTTAATTGAGATAATATCAGAAAAAACCTAACAAACCTCCCAAGAAATTAAATAACATTACCTTTCATTAATGGGATGACTGCTGTGGAAGCTCCCAGCAGAATGATGCAGTCTACTTACTGCTCTAGTTTCTGCATGATGGAAAAGAACATTAATTAGTTGCACACGTTTTCTGTCATCAATGATTAATAACACAAACAAGCACTCAAGGACAAATAACGAAGGCATGAGTGGGCACATCATGAATAATCTTAATACTGTGATTTCCTGCTGCCGTTCTTGTAGACCACTCATGGCAAAGAACTTATTCTTGCCTTGGTAACATGGAGGAGCTGAATGATTTCTTCTACTCTTCTTCTTCCTTATAAGCTCATGCGTTTTACCTCGATTTCCAGCATCAATAAATTTATGTGAGTCCCTATCTACCCTAGAGAAGAGCATAGCTCACGGTATCAAATAATCCTTAAGACTCTCTTCACATCTCTTATCCCTCAATATGGACCTGCATACCTTCACTGTGTAAACATCAGGACCTGAGATGTATCCAAAGAGCTTGAATGAACCATCACTTGCATTCAATTTGTTAAGGAAACCCAGATGAATCCCTAACCCACTGAACAATAGTGGCAACAGAGAAGGAGAATCACGTGCGCAAAGCAGGTCATCCTCACTGCATGCAAACAAAAAAAATCTAAGAAACCAGATAGAAAATATCCTTGAGTTAACTGGTTTATCAAAGATGGACCTTTCAATAACAACAATCTTGAAGGAGACACTGTGGGATGCACAAGGGTGATTCTCAGCAGATTCTTCCACAGAATGCAAGACCCCCTTTGGACTTTCCGGATGATACATTCAAACAAGAAGATCAATCAGGGCAAAGTAAAGCTTAAGCAATTTAGTATGTAAATCAAATGTTTTACTTGTTTGGGTTTAAGGAAAACAAGAAGTACCAGGAACACATTTGCTTTCTTCAAACTGGTTGGTTGTAAAAGCACTGGAAATAGTACCACTGAAACTCCTCTTGCATATTAGCACTAGAATTAGGCATAGGCACTGCCAAAGAAGAAAACAACCATCAAAGTGGAAAATTCACATAGGCACTATAACTTGAACATAATAAACCACTAAAGCAAAACATTACATTGTTGAATGCCAATCAAGAAACATCAAGAAGTCAGATTCTTCTTTAACATAAAGCCCTAAAGAACCTAAGACAATTAAAATACAGTAGGCATCATATGAAATCTTGAAATAGCAGTATGAAAATCCATAAAAAAAAGAAGAAGAAAGAGAAGAAAGGAAGCTTACTGTGACGACCGCAACACACACACTGATTATTTAAAACAAAAATAGTATCATCCAATCTTATAGCAGGCATTCAACTGTTGGTAGAACCAGAAATCTATTTGATCCGAGTACTTCACCATTACAGGTTTTACAAACAATTACAACCCTAGAGAAAAGTCTAAAAGTAGTTATCAAAACATCCATCAGACAACTATAGGTACCGTACATTCTTCACTAAAGAAAAGACTTTGTAGAATTTTAATAAAAATTCACAGATATTGTAAATTCAAACAATAATCAACCACTAAAGCAAAACAATATCAATTGCACGGTTGGATCCCAATCAAGAAATATCAACAAGTCAAATTCTTGAAATAGCAGTACGAAAATCCATCGAAAAAAGAAGAAGAGAAAGGTTGCTTGAAGAACCCAGAAAAATATTTGATCTTAATCAAGTACTTCACCATCACAGATTTCCCAAACAATTACAACCCTAGAGAAAAAACCTAAAAGTAGTTTACCAAAACATCCCTCAGACAACTATAGGTACCATACATTCTTCACTACAGAAAAGACATTGTAGAATGCTGGTGAAAGAATCATACAGACATTGTAGAACAATATCAATAACACTGTTAAATTCCAATCAAGAAACATCAAGAAATTAAATTCTCCAACATAAATCCCTAAAGAATCTAAGAAGCAAGGTATCATAGTCAAATTTTGTAATCGCAGTAGTAAAATCCATCATAAAAAAAGAAGAAAAAAGAAGAGAGAAAGAGGGGGAGAAAGACAATATTGGGAAAATGACTCTTTACAGTTGAACGAGAAGGACCATATATATAGACTTGAAAATTCCCGCGTGTGCAGTTTAATGTCACTTTGGTCCTCAACGTTTCAATATAGTCATTAGAACCACCTATATTGTTTTTAATGTACTATTGAGTCCCTTTTTTTTTTTGGTGCACTATTGTGTTCTATTTTCAACTAAAATATTACTATTTTTCTTATGGATGTGGGGGTTTGAGTTCTATTTTACTTGCATTATGAACATGGGTTTGTAGTTATGCATTTCGCTATTTATACAAGTTTGAGATGGTAAATTACAAGGAATTTACGGTATAATTAAGCTACGGGTGAATAATTATGTTTAACGATTTGATCTGATGATTATTTATTTTTAAATGTAATAATTCACTAATTAATCGTTCAAATATCGATTAATTTGATAATGAATTAGCAATTATCAAACGATTATTGTGTAACAACTAATTTTTTTAGTACGTTCTTTTTCTGCTATCGTAATTCTTTTTTATAAAATTATCAGAAAAGGCTCAAAAATACCCCTAAACTATTCGAAATAGCTCATATATACCGTTAAACTTTATTTAGGCTCAAAACTACCCTTCCCGTCATTCTATTGGGTCAAAAGTATCCTTCTTATTAACAGAAGTTGTTAAATGCCACGTGGATGTCATATGGATGTCTACATGTCAATAGGATTTCGCTGCCACATAGACTAAATAGAAAGGGTCAAAATACCCTTAAACTATCGGAAATAACTCATATATACCCTTAAACTATATTTCGGCTCAAAACTATCTTTCCCGTCAAACTATTGTGTCAAAAATATTAACAGAAGATGTTAAATGTCATGTGGATGCCACATTGCATAACAATAAGGTTCCACTGCCACATGACTAAATTCCTAAATCCTAATTACTCCCCCCCCCCCCATTTCATTATTTTCAGAAACGATATATTCACCAGTTCTCCCTCATTTCACGGCTAGTGTTTCATACTTTCTTCGTGACTGGATTTTAAAGTGGATATTCATGCTTGTAAGTTAGTAAATATTTTTTCTTATTCAATTATGTTTACTATTTCAAAACATAATAGTTAAGATTTCACAACTTTCTCTTAATTTCATAGCTAAGGCTTAGTAGCTTTCTTCGGGGTTGAGTTTTAAAATGGATATTCATGCTTATAGGTTAGTAAATATTTTTTCTTATTTTATTATGTTTACAATTTCAAAACATGATAGCTAGATTTTACAACTTTCCGTCATTTCACGGCCAAGGTTTCATAACTTTCTTCGGAGATAAGTTTCAAAGTAAAATTTCGTGGTTGTAAACATAATAAAATAAGAAAAAAGTTTTTACGAACCTACAAACAAGAATATCCACTTTGAAATCCAGCGACGAAGAAAATTGTGAAATCATAGTTGCGAAATGAGGGAGAAAGGGTGAAAGGGAATCAAGTTAAAAAACATGAACTCGAACGTGGCAGTTAACGACAACATTAGGAAGTCCGAAGCCTTGAGAAGAATTATCTTTTCTTTTAATAGTTTGGCCACACTGGAATCGGCTCAGTAAGAGGTAGGGTCCATGGGCTGGAAGAGCACCGCATGTCGTATGGTGTCCAATGTTCTCCTGATGGCCCTAAAAATCTGAAAGATTGAATGTCTTCCACACCCAATCGTACTCACGACCGCATTAGGTCTCCAAGGTGAACAACATTTTTCCTTCGCTTATTGATATGCTTAAATTCAACGGATAATCTCATTTGACCTGGGGTCACGATCGGAGTGCCTTAGCGTATAAGTTACTTTATATTATTTTATAATGGTAAATTTACATAATTTATTTACAGATGTAAAATCTAAAATGAAGACATAAATAAAAACACAAAACACAAAACACAGGGAGTAGATAATAATAACTTATTGAATTATTCAATTGAAAATGATACATGTCCAAATTTTATATTTATAAGTAATTGTGGTTACAATCAGAAAAAACAATATTGATGATATAGTTAAATAAAATTTGAAACCAATTCAGATAAGGAAATATTTATTTGGATATAAAAGAAAAATTAGAGATGAACTTTAATTATATTTAAATTTAATAAAAACAAATGACTGATATTTTACTAAATTCTCTTACATATTTTTTTAATGTTAAATAATTTTTTTAATTTATAATAATAATAAAAAAATATATGACTACATATATTTTTATACGGGGGTTTCCAAAAAGTATTTTATGAAAAAGAATCCGCGTGTCTTTAGCTTAGCTTAAACAGTAAGCAACATTAGTTTAAGCGGCTCTATTATGAAAGCCATTAGCTTAAACAGTAAGCTACATTCGTTTAACCGGCTCTATTTATGATACCACCATTCACCTGTTTTCTTTCTCCTCTTCTTCTTCTCCCTTGCTCGCTGTAAGGGTTTCGATTGTTTGATATTAAGTTTATGTGGTCTGTCCGATTTTCGAGAATAAGAGTTTTCTGCTCTCTCCATATTTATTATTTTGATTCTTCGCTTTGTTGCATTCTTGAATTTTAATAACTTAATCTGACAATGTTGCTTTCTTCTTCTTGTTTCTTGGTTCCGTGTCTTTGTGAATTTTGCGTGTTGGTTCCAGTTAGTTGATAAATAGTTTATGTGTTCTCCTCCCTATCATGATTCTTGACCGTTATATTGATAAATAACAAGTTTTAATTTTTTTATTTACATTCTTGAATATTGATATCTTAATCTGAGAATGTTGCTTTCTTGTTCTTCTTCTTCTTCCTTTTTTTTTTGGTTCCGTGTTTATGTTTTTTTTTGTGGGTTTTGCATGTTCGTTCTAGTTAGTTGATAAATAGTTTATGTGCCCACCTCTACATCATGATTCTTGACAGCTATACTGATGACAACACAAGTTTTAATTTCTCCACTTTATTGCATTCTTGAATTTTGATAACTTAATCTGGGGGTGTTGTTTTCTTCTTTTTTGGGTTCCGTGTTTATGGTTTCTTTGTGGGTCTTGCATATTGGTTCTAGTGCTCTCTCCATATCATGATTCTTAACATTCTTGCTTCTTGAATCATGTTCTGTGGAAACACGTTCGCAAAGTTGAATAAGCAGAATGTAGCGAACTCAGCCATAAGCCCCTTGACTTCGAACTTTACCTGTTGTTCTGTTATTGATTCATTAGTTTGTTTAATGAAGATATCTGCTCCCAAGGAACCAGAACTGATGAGCGTAGATAGCAAGGCATAACTTTAACTCAAACATGACATAAAAAGGGTCAGCATCATTTTCTTGACGGTTCCGATGAGATGTCATATCTGTCATGGAGTTGTTATTGTTGGATTTTAGGAAAAAAGTGTTTGCTGAATAATCTGACTGTAATTTTTTATTCTGCATGGGTATTTATGTTAATGGATTCTCCTGTAATAGAGTTTCATCTGGTATCTTTGGTGTTCCATATTTTAGTTATTGTGTGTTGTCCTTTTGTTGAGTGGAATTAATTAAAATCAGTTCTTACCATTGTTGTGTGCTGAAATTGCAAGCCAAGACCTTTACTTCTAGAAATAATGATAGTCTGAACAACAACAGTAAAAAGTACTTTCCATTTCAATGTTGCAATGCATATTTTATCTTTGTTAAAATTCTCTTCTGCTGGCTTTATTTACTTTGTTTCTTGATTTTGAGTATCTTGTGGATAATTTCTCTTTCTCCATATTTGTTTCTATATATTGGCAACACTTTCTACTCTTAGCAATTTCCCATGTATTATTATCGGAAAGTGTTTTTTGTATTAATCTCTACACATAGATTACCAGGTGGTTAGATTATATTAACTGCTACACAGACTACACAATTTCTCCTTCTCCATATCTGTAAGTGTTTCTGAACGTATATGCAATCTTTGCATATGATCTGTTTAGTAGTTCGTGGCATGCTTTGGTTGATGGACCAAAAGTTTAAGATAAAAGCAGATCATATGCAAAGATTGCAAGTACGGGTATCCTTTTGGTAGAATAATGCAGATTTAAGTCCATATTTTCCTCTAATCCAAGTAAAATACTCAATATTTAACAGGACTGTAATAATTGTTTATGTAGTTCCCCTTTTTCATTGATGAAGAAAACGCTTCTTGCGTACTAAGGATAGAAGTCATCATCATTCCAAGGGACTGGGTTTCATCCTACCGCTAGAGAATTTCCACTGGGGGCTTCATCTATGGATAGTAAGCTTTCTTTTTTTTATGAACGTGCCTTCCTTTCGTTGTTTGGTTCAGCTGGATTCTAATAGATGCATAAGTCAATTATCGTAAGTCAATTATCGTACTTGGGGAATGGGAATGGCACATGTAATGTTTTAGTGGATTGCTTAATGTCCAGTACTATTTTATGTCTGCTCTATTAAGATCCCATTTCCTTAAGCTCAAAACCTGGAATCTCTAATAGTTCAAATTTAAACCAAGTAACTTCACGGATTTGTTATCTATTTGAGTGTGTGTACGGATATACAAGTTGACTTGCTATTTTACAAGTTCCAGAAATAAGAACCAAACAGACCAATTTTGTTATTTAATTGCATAATTCCTTGTTCTGTTTAAGATGTAAGGATGCACGATGAAGACGGAGTTGGTAATAAGCCCAAGTTAGAGCCTGAAGAGATGCATTATGATAAGCCCAATTCTGTGCCAGCTATTGATGCTTGTAGTTGTGTTTAATTAGTGATTAGCAAATCAATTCAATCTTCTTTCCTAACCGTAGGAACATTAGCCTTTAATGTAGCAAGAATGCAACATCTTGTCAAACACTAAATATATCTCCGGGCTCATCCAGTTTTCATACCTTTGGAAAGAAATATGACGTTCATAGCGTGTCCAATGAACCTCTGTTGTGGTCCAGGGATGCCAATGTCTTAGACTCCTCCATATTTGGTCAGCAGCCAAGTATCAATGGCCATGAGTGAGTATCGAACTTTACTATCTATTGTTTTACTGTACTTTGTGTATTATTCAATGCCTAATTTTGACTTCTATACTTTCCTGTCATTTTTTTTAATCTCTGCTGCCTCAGTTGTTAGTCCACAGTTCCATTTAACCTAAAATCGTCTTATTCTTGTTCTGTCTTTCTTTTTTCTTGCCCCCGATCCTTATACTTGTACTTTCTCATGCACCAGCTATACCTCGACTTATTTTAGGTCTTACTTCCTGAGAATCATGGAAGTGAAGCCATCATCAATTATGCCTCCTGCTGAAACACAACCTTCAGTCTAAATCTCAGTTAAACACCCCAATTTGGCGACATCCATCCAGTACGGAATATTTCTTGTTTACCCGTAAGTTCACACTTCTGAACAACTAATTATAATTAATGAGCTTATGCATGCATGCCTTCCTCTTGTCTTATTGGTTCAGCTGAATTCTAATAGATGCAAAAATCAATTATCATAGTTAGGGAATGGGAACATCACTTGCAATGATTAGTGAATTACTTAGTATCTACCATTTTATGGCTGCTGCATTTAAGGTCCCATTTACATTAGCTCAAAGCTTGGAACCTCTAATAGTTTCAAATTATAACCAATTAACTTCACGAATTGGTGATTCCTTAAAAGACTTTGAACACTAGAAAGATTATCGTTTGTTATCTATTTAAGCATATCTAAGAATATAAAAGTTGACTTGCTGTGTAATTGCATAATACTCCTTTTCTGTTCAAATTGTAGGGATGCATGATTGGAATAAGGTTGGTGATAAGCCCAAGTTAGAGCCTGAAGAAATGCACTATGATAATTGTGGTGATGATTAGGATGTGGATGGCATAATGCCGAAGCTTTGATGGGCTGATTAATACACAGTTATTCCTATGGAGAAATTGACATTAATGGAGAAGGAAGAAGCTAGATTTTTTTTTTTGCCATGTGAAGGATTTGGTGATAGGAAGACATGGGGGTATGGACGCATCAAGTTCTTGGGGGAAACAGATGTCTGGGCGCTTGATCTTGATTCTGCTGTCATGAGGTGATTATCTATATGGATGAGAGCAAGAAACCTCCAGTTGGACAAGGCCTCAACAAGACAGCTGAGATAACTCTTCTTAATGTCAGATGCATGAACAATTCGAATGAGAAGGAGTACATAGATGGACCAATGGTCAACAAGTACAGAGTAAGGGCAGTGGAAATTTTGGTATCACACTTCTGATTGTGAGTTCAAATTTTCTTGGTTGATTGTGGCATAACCAAATGTTTGAATTGTTAAGATGTCCTCCAACTGATATTTTTGCAATTTGGTCTCTTTGATTTTGTCCCACTAGAACTTCCACTCTTTTACGCACTTCAGTTCCCGTTGATCCAAGTTTTTACAATAGCTCACTTTGATTTTTGTCCCACTATATTACTTTCTTTTGTTCTTGTTGATCCAAGTTGTTAATCACTAGATTTGTTTCAAAGTTAATGCATTAATTTGTGGATCTCTTGCAATGTTTGAGCTCTTGGTTGTGGTAAGTTATATCTCCAATTAATATTTTCTTATTGCACTTGGTTGGTGGGTGATTAGTTATAATGAATCCTCATGTTAGTGAATGCATTGAGGCCCCAACTAAATATTCTCATTCAATTATCAGGACTGTTTACTTGCCTTGATGCTGCATAAGTGCATATATAGTCTAGCATTTTGTGGCATACATCGATTGAGGAATTAAAACTGTAGTCAACCATTTCATTTGTATATGTCCTTACATCGATTTACTTATTTAGTGCTTATCTTCACATCCCATATTCTTTAGTGCAATCTTTCGAAGTCCTAGTGACTTCATTGAAAACTTATTGTCAAGGTATTTTTTTTATGTGCATTCTTTGGTCTCTGTCCAGTTATACACTCGGAAGAAAGACCACATAAGCTATTGCATTTGGAATAATGTTATTCCCATGATTTCTCTGCCAGTACAGCTTTTCCTTTCTTACCTGTGGTCCTGGTGAGTAGTAGAATATATAGATGGAATTGGTCGAAATGCTAAAATCTTCTCCTTGTGAAAGTAGCTATGCACATTGAGCTGTACTCTTGTCCAAAAATGTTAACTATCTGTAATATTTCATAATATTTCAGTGTGATTTCTTATTATGGGTAATGTTATTGCTTACTATCTCTGGAACTAATATTGTGCCAGCTATTGATGCTTGTATTTTTCTTTAATTAGTGATTAGAAAATCAATTCAATCTGCTTTCATAACTGCAGGACCATAAGCCTTTAATGAAGCAATGAATGCTACATCTGGTCAAACACAAAACATATCTCCAGGCTCATCCACTTAGAAACATTAGGAAAGAAATATGATGTTAATAGCCTGGCCAATGAACCTTTGTTGTGGTCCAGGGATGACAATGTCTCAGACTCCTCCTTCATTTGGTGTTTCAAGAAACACACTTTGGCACCCCAAGATTTGCTTCCTATTCCTTTGGACAACCAGCGGTAGCCATGTCATGGAGCAAACAAGTTTACTTTTTTGGCCATTTTCTCATGTATTGGAGCAGATTATTCAACATTTTGAGGGAACATTTTGTTCTATCTAAGATAATCCGATTGATATAAGATTATACATACCATTCATTGTGCATTACTATATGCTCTATATTGAGCTGAAATCCTTGTTGAGCTTTTGTTATATTTTTACTAAGTACTACTTAGTTCCTACTTTATATTTTTGGCTATCCTAATTTTAAATCTTAGGTCAAATTTGCTAACCAGGAAGGAAGTCCTGCACATTTACTCAAGAGCTTTGGTTTCGAAAAATATGCATTTGGTATTACCCAAGAAGGAAGTTGAACAGCATCATACGTTGCAACTCCAGAGGAAGATAACATACAACCTGGTGCCGAGAACATTCTATCCATTTGTGAATTGGAGACTTGTAAAGACAAAAGCCAGGAGGAGTTTTGAGATTTGAGGACTACCAGTTAGGTGATAAAGTTATCTGTAACTTGTTTCCCTTATCTTTAGATAACAAGGAAATCTACTTTGTATTTCATTATCTTTTTAATACTTCATGGGTGAATTTGCAGGTCAGAAATGTGGTTCTTCATTTGGTATTTCCGCCACATGGATTTGGTGTCATCGACAACACGGGGCCTTCCATATCACCATTTTTCAAGTAGATTTGCAGTGGAATGAGCAGGGGTTGACTCTCTGTCAAATGAAAAATTTACAAAAACGGCAATTACCTCATTTCCAAAGTCACAGCAGTCCATTTTGCATTTATTTCCCCCTAACACATCATTGATGAACTCTTGTGGCACTGGAAGTAGAGTGGAATCTACTGCCCCAAATGTTTCTTTTTTTTTCCGTGGATCCATTCAAGGTTGTTTGCACCTTTAAAACCAGCATCCAGTTCTTCCACTACCTCCACCTTTTCTCTATTAAGGAATCCATGGGATTTATCAATATCTGCCACTACATCTCCATTGTCAGTCTTACCTTCCACATAACCTTTGTTAGCAAAGCCAGGACATGATTTTGATCATAAAATCTCTTTTTTCTCCCATTCCTATTTTAACTACGGGAGGCGCTTCGCCATCCACATTATGTTTGATTAAGCAGTCACGGCATACAGCCTACTCCACCAGGACTCTGTAATGTTTCAAGCACTCCACTTGCTGCCAGTTAAAATACTGTAAGTGTCATTTATATGCAATTAGATCTCATTTATATCTCTCTTGCATTTGCTTTCTATCATAAATAATATAAAAGGCACCTCGTGGTCTATAAAATCGGTGAAGCACTTTTATTGTGGTGTTGTACATCTAAGTTGTTGCCACTCTTACAGCCTCTGTTTTTTGGTCCTCTGCAGCTACAAATGACTCCTAAAGTTGGAGCAACATTTCCACCAACCAACGCTTCTCACCCATCAGCAGGTACTTAGTGCAGCATGTCTTGCTCTTTTTGTAGTTTATTAATGATTTGAGAAAAAGATGTGTTTTAATTATTCGTATATGATAAGGATATTAGCTTAAGCAGTAAGCAGCTGAAAAGGAATATTTACAAATTTAGTTGACTCTCCTAATTATATTTGTGTCACATTAATTAAAATAAATAAAAAACAATATATGTCACGTTCAGGCTTGACAAGATTTTTGTATTTAATGTATTATTAATAATTGAAGAAAACAGTATGTTTTTTAATTAATCGTATATGAGAAGGATATTAGCTTAAACAGCAGTCAACACTCTTTAATATCTGCGTAGAGATTATGAAACCTTTATTCTTCTTCTCTCTCTATATATACCACCATTCCAAAACATTGACAATCAAAATTCAGAAGGGCTCTTCTTCTTTGTTTTGTCTGTCGATATTTTCTTTGGAAAACACTGCTACAAGTGAGTAAAATTTCATTCTTTAGGCCTTTTGATGCATTGTGTCCAGTGTTTATGAGTTTTCGTAAATTTTCTTTGAAGTTTGTTCCAGTTACTTGATAGTTTATGTGGTCGATCCAATCTCCATATACATTATTCTTTAGAACAAGAATTTGTTCTCATATATTTTGACAACACACTTATCGATTTTCCACTTTCTTACATTCTTGAATCTGGAAATGTTACTCTCTTCTTCTTCCTTCCGTGTTAGTTGATAAATAGTTTGTATGCTGATTCTCAACTACTATATTGACAACACAAGTCTTTAAGTTCTCCACTTCCTTGCATTCTTGAAACCTGATAACTTAATCTGGGAATGTTGTGCTTCTCTTTCTTCTTCCTTTTCTTGGTTCCCTGTTTATGTTTTTCTTTGTGATGTTTGCATATTTGTTTCTTATTAGTTATTTAATTTATGCCATTTTATTTCCCCTTCTCCAGATCCATAATATATCTGTTTCTATATATTGACAAGTATATTTTTGGTATTAATTAGTCAACATAGACTACCAGATTGATGCATTACTACACAAGCATATGAATCAATGTAGTTGAAATCAGGTTCAACAATCCATGTAATGCGGATCCAAGAAAAGAGATAACGATTCTTGATAACAAGAATTTGTTTTCATATATACTCTGACAACATATTTTTCAACTTTTTTGCATATTCTTCAAAACTTAATTTTGTTTCTAGCTTGATTTTGTTACATTACTATGTCTCAGAAGAAAGACCACATACGCTATTCAATGGGAAATTGGAAATGACCTAAACACTTGAATATGTTTTTCCCAATGATTTTTCTGCCAAATGGATTTAGTACAGCTTTCTTTCTCGCATTTGGTCCTGGTGAGTGGATTGACATATATAAATGCTACACTAATACAACTAGTTTCATGAAAAGAGAGATATCATATTTACTTTTCTAGAGAAGCAAGATGGATTTGGAATTGGTCTAAAAACTAAATCTGTTCCATGTGGAGTAGCTATGCTTATTGAGTTGTACTCTTCCAAAAAATGTTAGTAATAACTTCAATATCTCAGTGAGATTTCTTATGGTGGGTAGTGTTATTGCTTACAATTTCTGGAACCGATCTTGTGTCATCTATTGATACTTGTAGTTGTCTTTAATTAGTAATTTAAATTCAATCTGCTTTCCTAACTGCAGAACCATTAGACTTTAATGCAGCAACGAATGCTTCATCTGGTCAAACACAACGTATCTATGGGCTCGTCCACTTTACCGACATTGTGTGGCCAATGAATCTATGGTGTGGTCCAGGGATGTCAGTCTCAGACTCCTCCATACTTGGATATCCAAGAGGTCATGCATTTGGTGTTTCAAGCACCTAACACTTTGGCACCCAAGACTTGCTTCATACTCCTTTGGCAACCAGCAGTATCCATGTCAGGGAACAAAGGTTAACTTTATTGTCCATTTTTTCATGTACTGGAGCAGCTTAATAAACATTTTAAGGGAGAACTTTGTTTTGTAATCTATATGCTCTATATATTGATTTGGAATCCCTGTTGAACTTTTATTAAATACTACCAAGTACTATTTATTTCTACGTCATATTTTTGGATATCTTAAGTGTTCAATCTTGATCAAATTTGCAAAGCAGGAAAAGAAAGTACACCACCTTTTTTCAAGAGCTCTGGTTTTGAAAAGTCAGTGTTTGGCATTAAAAAAAAAAGGAAGTAGATAACATCATATACTGCAACTCCAGGGAACGATATCACAGGACCCGGTGGTGGAGAAGTTCAATCCATTTGTGGAATGCCGACTTATAAACATAAAAGCGAGGAGGAGTTGAGGTTTGAGGACTACCAGTTAGGTGATAAAGGTATACTTAACTTGTTCTCTTTTGATTCAGATTAAGCTTCTTCAAATATGTTAATGCTATATTTATATGTTCATATATGAGTTAATGTTAAACAATTTCTTTGGTCTGTATGCAAATACACTCAGAAGAAAGACCACCTAAGCTTTTGTATGAGAGTGATCTACAAACACTCTTCTGAATATGTTATCCCCATGATTTCTCTGCCAAACGGATTAAGTACAACTTTTTTTCTCATCTGTGATCTAGGTGAGGAATGGCATATATAGATGCTACATTTTATACTGCCAATTTCATGAGAGGAGAGATATCATATTTACTTTTCTAGAGCAGCGAAACAGCTTTGGAATTGGTCAAAAAGCTAAATCTTCCTTGTGAAGGTAGCTATGCACGTTGATCTTTACTGGATAATACAAGTCTCAGAAAATACCTTTCGAAGTTTTGATATAGCTATATCAAAGTAAGTTATCTTAGCCTTCTCTCTTTATTTTCCTATTATTTCATCTTCTTTTTCACTTTTTGCATGGTTGATTGAGTTCACTCATGCATGTATCTATTTTTCTATGTTGCTTTCCTAAAACACCTGTGCTACAGAGTTCAACAAAATTTGCTATCAGAACGATGGCTAATTTAGTATGTACAAAATGCTATGTTAAGACTGGTGCTCAAAGTGTGGAAACCATTGCTAGAAGTTGTGAACCATTCACATAGTGATGTAAGATATATAGCTCCCTTCTGCTGTTCCCTTTCTTTTATTTACTTTTATCTTTCCATATTTGATTAAGCTTTTTCACTTTCACACAATTCTACTAGTGTATGTTGTTTTCTTGTAGTCCCGCAGAATTCAGAAAAGTTTGCTATAGAGAAGAAAACAAGTCTAGGATTCTACTCCTTGAGTGATCCAAGTAACTGTCTCCGCGTTCAGTGTCACCTTCCACGTATACTTGGTTAAACTCCTGTTTTGATCAAAAGAATTCTTTTTCTCTCATTCCTGTTGAGGCACTCCACAATCCACATTATGCATGAATTGCTTAAAGCAATAACAATCTACTTCACCAGGACTTTGTAATGTTTCAAGCACTCCACTTGCTGCCAGTTAAAATACTTTTGAAGTGTTTCTGAACATATATGCAATTGGATCTCATTTATACCTCTACCATTTGCTTTCTGTCATAAATAATATAAAGGGCACCTTATGGTCTATAAAATCGGCGTGGCACTTCTGTTACGTTATGCTACTCTTGCAGCCTTTGTTCTTTGGTCCTCTGCAGCCAGAAATGACTTCCAACAACCAATGCTTCTCACCCATCAACAGGTTCGTAGTGCAGTTTGCCTTGCTCTTTTGAGGTTGATAGTATGTGGGATTGTAATCCATGTAGCTAATTCTCCCAGCACCTGTTTTTTAAGAAGAAACTAGTTGCTCAGAAATCGGACAATGAGGTCAGCCAAGTATCAGTGACCAACAGTGAGTATCAAACTTAACCATCTATTATTTTACTTACTGCTTGTGTTATTAATTTTGACTTCTAGACTTCCCTGACATTCTTTTTATTTTCCCTAACTAAGTTATTACTCTACAGTCCTGTTTTAACCTGATCGTTTTATTCTTCGACTTTCTCCTTTTTCTTGCCTCTGTGATCATTTATTTGTACTCTTTCATGCACCAGCTGTACCTTAACATATTTGCAGGTCTTACTTTCCGATAATCATGGAAGAAAATACATCACCAATTATGCCTCCTGCTTTTCCAGAATCATTGAAGTGAATCCATCACCAGTTATGCCTCCTGCTGAAACACAATTTTCAATCAAAATTTCTTTCGAGTACCCGAAATTGGCAACATCCATCCAGTATGGAATTTCTTGTCTACCTGTAAGTAAGTTCCCATTTCTGAATAACTAAGCATAATTAATATTGCTCTTGGATGTGTTCGTTCAAACCAAATATCGTACTCTCTACAAGTTACATGATGTTTTGGGATGCCTTGTTACTATTGCTATAAATGTCATGTACCTTGAAAGAAAGATTCATTTATTTTGTTGTAATTATTGATGCTTTCGTCGAGGTAATTGCGTCTAGGTGCTGGCCATTGTCTTTAGATTAAAAAATGAAATTTATTTTTGGAATATTGGATAAGTAACAGTGAACTGAAGGAGTATTAAGTTGGATGGGATAATGTAGTGTATTTATATCAATGTAAAGAGTGTATAACCATGTATATATGATGTATACTTATGTATTTAAAATGTGTATACGTATATATTGTTACTAGTTCCCGAAACGTGTGTTGCACGTTTGCCTCATACAATTATTATAAAGTTGAATTATTATATAATGTTGAAATTAGAAATATTAGTTTTACCAATTTATATTTTATTCATTAAATAAAATTCATAATAATCGAATAGTACATTGACCATCAAACACGAAACATGAAAAAATAATTATATTATTATAGCATCTAATAATATGAATATATCTATATGACTTATTCTTAATAATCTCTAATTAGTAAGTACACAAATATGTAGCTAACTTAAAGAAACTATATTAATAAGGAAACTTAAAAGTAAATAAATATTAAAAAAGTATGTTTAAAAACGAATCTAAATGTCATAAATTAGTAATTTCAGCACTAATAAAAATAGACTTATAACATTCATAAGTTCATAGAAGATTATATTAAAGAAGTATAATCGGTAAAGAATATAAAAAAATTAAATAGATAAGAATAAATACAACATTCATATCCTTCTCAAGACTTTTATTATAACAATATATATAGTAAAAGAAATACACAAGGAGTAATCTTTTTTTCTCCTGTAACAAAAAAAAACAATCTAAAATGGTTACGATAAAATTTATGATTCAAAATATCATTCTAATGAGGATCAACAAATATTAATATTTCAAAACAAAAAAAAAATGAAAATTGCCTAATGATTCACATCAACACAGAGAAAATGGTAAAGAAAAATTATTTTTTCATGATCCATATATATAGCTAAAGATTTATGGGATAAGATGAAGAGTTGTTTTAGTTAATTTTTCAGAAGTTGAATGATCTTAGACATGGGTAAGGAAAGGTGATTGTTTTTACTAATAATTCAATACATTTAATTATACTAACTATTGAGAGAGGATAACAAATTTAATTATTTAACCACATTAATTATAGAGAAAGAATAAATAACTTTTTTTTTAAAAAAAAAAGTAATTCCTAACAGTTTCCTATGAAATAATTTCTAACAATTTTCTATAAAATATTTTTGTCTTTCAAAGTTTGACTTTAGACCTTCTTAGTTTTAGTATAATATAATTATTACTTAGTACGTAAATAATTAGAATTTAAACTATTGTGTCTAGATGCATGTATTTAAATATAATTATTTAATATTAAATTGATTATATATTAATATTTAATTTAATTTAGGGATAAAAATAAGGACAAAATGGTAATTGAACTTTTAAGTTAGGAGCTTCCTAGTTTTAATAATATATGATACAAAAATTATATATTGAAGCAGTTTACTCTTCCTCAAGGTATTTTCTGCAATTCTGACCAACTCGAATTTCCTCTATGCATTCCCAATTTTGAGATTTATGGTACTCAATATTTTAAAAGTATTTTGATATATTATTTAGGGAAAATGCACAAGTACCTCTCAATCTATGCTCGAAATTCTAGAGACACATTTATATTATATTAAGGTGTTATTATCCTCTTAAATTTATTTCATAAATAATTTTCTATTCCTTTTCGGCTTACGTGACATTAGGTAAAAAAAAACCAACCAGCCTTGGGCTCACAAGTTTGTGACACGTAAGCAGAAAAGAATAGAAAATTATTAGTAAAATAAGTTCAGGGGTAATAGGACCTTAGTATAGTATAAGTGTGTATCTAGGATTTCGGGTATAGATTGAGGATATTTGTGTATTATCCCTATTATTTACTTGAAACGAATCACGTTAGTAACATGTCAAATTTTAAATTTGACTCTTAAAGCTTTTTGGTGTAATATTTCAATACACATCAGCTCAAAACTTCGTCTAACCAACTCAAAAACAATTTGATCCACACAAACAAACAACCTCTAAAAAAAAAGATGGATAATTAAAGTGGATAAATAGAGTAATAAATCGTAAAAAATGAAAAATACATATAGTTCAGTTCCTTTTCATTTTACCTAAGTTTCTGTTTAAATTAGTGACACATAACATACACTAAATTAAATGACTACATTTATATTTACTATAATTTCAATAATATATTATATTATTTTGTTCATAATCCTGATTTTATTTTACCAAGGATGTTACTTTGTTATTAATTTTAAATTTAATCCTGATTTTATTTTACCAAGGATGTTACTTTGTTTTTAATTTTAAATTTAATCCTAGAGAAAGCTTCGAAGAAAACCTAGGATAAAAGATTATTTTCAGAGAAGAAAGACACTATCGTAAAAAAGATAGAGAGAACTTTCCCCAAATATATATGGATAAGATAAACTAATAATATAATGTATTGTTAAAATAGTGGTAAATATAATAATTTTTAATATCAAATATATAACACATTTATCATTTAAATCATGGTTTGAGATTAATTTTAAAAAATCTTAGTTATTTAATTTAACCTATGTGATATGTCACTAATATATATACTTTTTCGCTTCTTTCTTACTTGTCGAATTTTACCTTTTTATGTGTTATTTTTTATTTATCATTTTTGATAAATTATGGATATATAATTTTATCATTTTATACCCTAAATTTATTCCGAGAGTTAATGTTTTTGAAAATGATAAAACTCTTGCGTAAATTGATTTTGAAATTTTATCAATTAACAGAAATAAATTAATAAATTTACCATATCAATTATTATTTTCTTAATAAGCACATCAATAAATAAATAAACACAGACAAATGAAATAACAACTTAAACAAAATAGAGAAAAAAGAAACGAAAAGAAGCCAGATCAGTTTATCAACTATTAACTCAAATATGTAATACTTTTTATATACATACCCCATTCAACTTTTTTTCTTGATTAATATCATATTAATCAAATATTGTTAATTGCTCCAATTGATTGTTTTTTTTGATCAATCAAATAATTAATTTGAAATACAAAGAGAGAAGTTTTTCTTAAAAGAAAAAAAAAATCTGTCTCGATTTCAATTTCTCATATGAAAAATTCTAAACAGAAATGACTTTATATGAATTCAAATTAATCAAATATTTGTATCAATGTCTTTTTTTATTTCTTACTCAGTGTTCAATAAAAGCTTTCTAATAAATAAAATTATGTACCAAGAGAGTTCGAACCCAATATCTTCTAATTAAAAAAAAATATACTTATCACTCATCCATAATTCTTATTGTCCGCATCGATGACAATGAGAAACCAATAAAGAAAAATGTAACAAAAAAACAAAAAGTTAGGGAACTACAAAGTAGTCAGAGTGGCGTAGACGTATTCGGGTCGGGCCGGCCGACAAGAGGGAAAATTCAACTTTGGTACCAACTGTATCAGTATATATGTTAGTACCAGATATTCCGTCTTTGTTGATCATTTCTGGCAGTACGAAGATTTGATATTGATATGGTGAGTACTATACTTATTATGAATGGCATAAACAACTGAATGGGTTTTTTATCGGTAGTTTTTATTTGTTTATTTCATGAATTTTCAGGCAGGGAGTGGGGAGGAATCAAAGAAGTTGCAGCTCTACTCATATTGGAGGAGTTCATGTGCATTTCGTGTTCGAATAGCTCTCAATTTGAAAGGTTATTTTTCTGATTACTTTCTCTTTCCGAAAAAAAAAAGAGTGTACTATTTGTTAACCCTTTTTTGTTTTTTTTCTTGTTAGGATTGGATTATGAGTATAAAGCTGTTAACTTGCTTAAAGGAGAACAAAGGGACCCTGGTAAGTCTGTAACTTATTAGTTTTTTTTTTTTGGGTGTTTGATTAAAAATTGGTAGTTTTAGGATAGTTAGTGAATGTTTATACTGTGTGTTTGGTATGAATGGGAAGTGTTCTCTTGGAAAATAAGTGATTTTTTACTTATTTTCTTGTGGTTGGTATGTAACTGTAAAATATTATATCAACTATGTGTGTAAAATCTACAAGTGTGTATGGGGCTGTATGATGGTGGAGGTGTATTGGAGGGTGGAAGGAGATAATCAAATACTTGTGGAGCTTCTTTTCCCTACTTCCACTAGGGAAATCATTCTCCTCATTTTTAAGCAGTTTGTTTTCCTACTGAAAATGTTCTCCAAATAGTTTGACCCACCAAACATAGGAGAAATGGAAAAACCATACCAAGTACACCCTTGTTGATCAATAGAGAGCTTGTGGTATTTGTTAGTTAGAATGTTACATGGAGGCGCTGGTTGTTATTAAATAGGATTAAAGATGGTAATTGGGTTTTGGGGGTGTTAAACAAATTGCTGTAGAATTCTTTAGAACTTATTTCATTCTTATTCGTATTTGTAATGTGTGGAATAGAATACTTGAAGCTGAATCCCCTTGGATATGTGCCCACATTGGTGGATGGAGATGCAGTAATAGCAGACTCTTTTGCTATCTTAATGGTGCGTTTTTCTTGTGCTGTGCCATTTGAGTGTGTAACTTTTTATCATTACCGTGTTGCTGATGAGAAGATTTTTTGGGCAGTATCTGGAAGAGAAGTATCCCCAGCGAGCATTGTTGCCTCAGGATTGTCAGAAAAGAGCAATCAACTATCAGGTACAAAGGAAAGGTGGATGATGGTATTTATGACCATCAAGAGCTAAAGTTCTTTAGTATTGATTAAAAAAAATAGGAACTATGCAGTGGAATGAAATTGACTTGGTTATTACCTGGAATCTCTGCTGAAACACTTCGCTACATTTTGAGAATGAATCAATTGCTTTTAAACCGAGTGTTGCTTATTTGAAAATAAAAAGAACTTAAGATACCCTGATATATACTTATAAAAAAAATAGATAGTATTATGTTGAATGATTTAGCACATCATTCACTTGTTTTCAATCTATTTCCTGTTGAGGAATTCAAAGAACGGTGCATATTTTCAGTATTATCTTCTGATGACTTCGTATTATATTGTTTCATCACTCAGATGTGCCTTGTGTGACTAAAATTACATGGTTTCCTCGCCTCATATGTCTAGTATTTCCATGTCCATCTTTTGTTGAGTCCATAAGTAAAGTAGGACAATCCACTTAAGCAGATGAAAATACCATGAAGTCGAAAACTTTGGGACTCTGCTGTCATCTATCTGGAATATGGGCTTCTTTGCTTCCACTTCACTAAAGTACTCATACCTCGCATGAAATAAGCTGCCAGAAAGAAAGAAATTTTAATTCTAGTGCATTCCGTAGCTCTTTTCAGCCTTTATCCCTGGTCTCGTATGTCTTTCTGTTTGCCTCTTTTTTCTTTCTGAAATATTATTTTACCCAAGTTCTTGTTATTGGAATTGATTTAGCATATCTCCCGTGTTTTCCATTCCTGAAGGCTGCAAACATTGTTTCGGCAAACATTCAGCCTCTACAGAATCTTGCTGTACTCGTGAGTTTATATTTATTCTTCTGTTCAGTGGTCATATAAGGTCATTTTATGTTTAAAGATTCATACTATTTACTTTCTTTTTGCCCTTCCAATTCACAGAAGTACATCCAGGAAAAAATTGGCCCTGATGAGACAACCCCTTGGGTTCAAGGTCATATAACAAAAGGCTTTGAAGGTAACATTGCTCTTAGTGCCTTTGCAGACATAGCATGAACCAATGCTAACTGTCCCATAAATTTGTTTTTGATAAGTATTTTGGTTCCATATACCGCTCATAGGACTAGATTTGGACAGTTTCTCTGTGTGCTACACGTTGGAGAAATTGGATGTAATTTTTGGAATTTTACAAATGTTCCCCAAGAAGAGCCCAAGATTCTTGGATGAAGACACTAGAATTGTCATTTTCTTGTACGTATTTTTGCAGTTGTCGAGTACATAGCTTAGCACTCGCTCTCAGTAAAGGTTGTTGTAGTAACTTCAGGCTAAATTATTGTTTCGCTGTTAGGCACTGGGTATTTGATAGAACTTCTATTCATATGCTTATAATAGAGATTTTCTTTTCTGTTAGTAGTAACCCAGCCTATCAAGCAGGGGCAACTTGCCATTATCAATATCCCAGCCAAATTTGCATTAGCTATTGATTGGTTGGCTTGTTCTTGCAAAATGATAACTTTTGCTTCTGGTTGCTGAAATTGCGTCTCCTTTTCTTTCACTGATCCTGCCTGGTTGTTTTTTTTTCGTCCTCTGGATCTTGTTTTAAGATCAACTCGTCTTTGTAACAGCCATATGCTTTTGCTCTTCTTGAATTTTGGATCGAGCTGATGCCTTTAGGAAATAAACCAAAATTTCCAAAAAGTTGTTTCCTTTGTAGATCTGTAGCATGTGTTTTAGATGCTTCGGTCCTTGGCGTTTGTAATTACAGTTCCAGAAGACAGTTCTCAGAAGAAGGTTCCTGTGGCCACGACTTGCTAGGATTGATTGTTTGATGTACTGCAGTTAATTGCAGTTCATCAGAATAAACTGATTTTAATCGTAACAGTAGGAGTTGTTAGAAGAAGGATGTATCTCAGTTGATGTAGAGGTTATCTTAACAGAGATTTGCTTTTGCAGCACTTGAAAAGCTACTTAAAGATTATGCTGGGAAGTATGCAACAGGAGATGAAGTTTACATGGTTTGTTTCTTTTCAGTTCATATATTGCTGCCTCATATGCACTGACAGCACACAATGCTATCAGGTGTCTTGATATGTTTCATACATGTGTTGACCTAAGCAACTCTGTGTGCACTTCCAAGTCTTTTACCCATAGGTCTCATATGCTTTCTTTTTTCTTTGACAAGTAAAGGGAAATTATATTAGTAACAGTCGGGGATATGCTCTTAGCAATATTAAGTAAAATCTCCACCTTTTCTATCTCTCGGACATTCCATCCTGATAATCAGCTATTCTACCAATTTTTTGTCAAGTACAACGCTATATAATCAGGAACCCTGACCACTTATCATTTGTTAGGTCTCATATGCTTTCTTAATTTGGTCAAAGAAGGTAAAGACCATTCAATTCTCCCGTAATAAGTAAGCTCACTAGAACTTGATAGTGAAAAAAACAATTATACCTGCATGATGAAATAGTGATGACCTGATTCAGTTCACTCAGTATAACCTCTAACAGACCAAAACGATTGACACTTCTGTTATGCCATATAGAATCCAATTCAGATGCTTAACTTGTTTTGCAACTCGCAGGCCGACTTGTTTCTGGCACCTCAGATCCATGCAGCAATCAAGCGTTTTGAAGTTGACATGGTAATGCCTTTATAAATAGACATCCCACCGCGTACATGAGAGTCATTTTCATTTCTACTTGCTTTCTGGTATAAAAAGAACATGGTGCAATAAAGATTTTGTAAACCTAGAGAAGGGAAATTATGGTATTTGTGGATCTATGTAGTTCAGTGTCTTACAAGCCTCAGGTAATTAGTATCTGATATTGTGAATTTTTTTCTTAATGACATACATAATGAGTTCCTGAAAGTTACTTCTGTGTTCTCATCTCGGAGTAAAGACAAGGCAGTGCACTGCTACCTTTCTTGATCAAATAAGGGGGTATTTATTGCTGCTTCATTTAATTTGTCTTGGTAGCAGCATTTGATCATGCCCTGACAGTTTACCTTTCTGTGAATTAACGTCTTGCCAATCCATTGCTTTCTTACTCTTTTTCCTCTCAAATAAACTGGATGGTATATACCCACTTCACTTGATTTACCATATCAATGGTGGTACTTTCATGTTTCATAGGTGAAATTATATGCATACATTTCTTTCTCTTAAACGAAGATCTTCTTTCTAAAAGTTGTCAATGCAATGTGCAGAATCAATTCCCTACTCTGTTGAGGGTATTTGAGGCTTACCAAGAGCTGCCTGCTTTCCAGGATGCTATGCCAGAAAAACAGCCTGATGCCACATGCTGAAGGTAGTTAATTACTTTGGAGATAAATAATATTGGCTATATTCATATATTATATTGCCTTGAATAGTCATTCATATCTGTGCACCAACAACCACATCATACACTAATTTGTTAGTATTTCAATGAACAGGCCATCCATCATCTATGAAGTTCCCTTCTCAAACCCTTGGCATAACTGGAGTTGCATTTTGGCAGAATTGTTAGCTGTTTGCTGCACATTCTATTTCTGAATGCATTTGCCTTTAGTAAACTTCTATACGATGAATAAATGTAGAGCTGTCAGTGGCACACTTCTTTACGATGAATACATGTAGAGCTGTGTAACACTTGCAAACTTCTTTACAGTGAATAATGTAGAGCCGTGTAATACTTCAGTTATGGCACAGTCACGAGTTACTGAAGTACAGATAGTGAAAATGGTGTTGTACTACCTATGTTAAGGAACCTAGGATGAACATTCCTCCGTCTATTTGAGATATTATAAAGTTGCCTGCATGTTGAAAAGAGCAGATGTTTCTATTATTATTGCTTGTTTGGTTGATGAACTGAGTACTTAGTAGACATATCACTAATCAACAACTCGGTAGCTTGTTCCGGTGGGAAAAAAATTTCTACATGAAAATATGTAGCATGCAGCGTCATGAAAGAGAAAGGAAGTTACATCAACAAACAAAAGAAAATGCAAATTTAAATCATCATCAGGAAACATACCAGTATGTATGGCCGAAATATACTAAACCAATACACTAATTTACGTATATTCGAAGGCATTGGACCGTTAATCGATCGTTCATGCCTAATTTTAAGTTAGGCCTCAACATTATCCTTCTAAGTTACACGCCAAGCTTTTCTGTTGAGGCTATCTTCAACTTCTTGCATTTGCCATTTCTTTTCGGTCTCATATTTGCGGCAGTAATAAGTTTATATTCCGAGTGGGGCATCTCGCTAAGCTTACCAAACCGTTCCTCATAAAAGTGCCACACCTCCGACCTGCTCAAGAGAAAAACCAACAACAGAACTTTAGCAAGGAAGTTCACATAGAGAACAAGTCCAAATAGGGAAATTCGTGCAGCAGCCTACCAATAAGCTAAGAACTGAAACGGTGCATACTTCCCATATATATTTTCAACATCTCTCTGAACATTCTGTATGGTGGAAGTTCTCGCATGAACCTGGAATTTTTTGGAGAAGTGAATGATCTGTCTTAAGATTCATAATAACATATGAATCCATAATAATTTCAGGGGAATATCAAGTGCACAGGTGTACATTGGTACAAGTAATAGACCTGCCTTTAAGTCAAGTTTGAAGTGAAGGTTAATACCTGTTTTAGATGCCTAATTGTTTCGGAATCAGTGGGAATCACATGATAATAACCCAAGCACATCAGTACATTAGCACATGTAAATGGGCCAAATCCATCTATTTCTCTCAGCTGCTCAGCCATTTTATCATAATTGGACAAGCTTGGGTTGCTACAAGCTTCTTCAAGTTCATTCAACTGAATACTGCCTTCAACTATGCCCTTAGCAAGCTTTATAATGCGGCCCGCTCTATAACCAAGACCGCAACGCTTTGCTAGAAAACTTTCATCAAGGCTTGCTAATTGTTTAGGGCTAGGGAAATTCCCAAGCTGATTAAAAGAGCTCAGCTTTCTATCTTCTGAAGGATCAGGATTGAGTGGTGCACTTACACTAACTTCCCAAACCTCAGTAGTATCCTGACAAAGATTACTTTTTTGGAGAACCTCTTCACCAACTGAAAATGCAGGTGTCACAGTTACACCCGGTTTATCTATATCTACAATTTCTTCGACTTCGTTAAGCCTCTCCAACAAGTTTCTGGAACATCCATAAGCTCCAGCTCTTTTCCGTAATTCTTTTCCTGCTGGTGTTCTTGGAGTGAAATGCTCTGACTTGGAAGTTACGCCCTTCAACTGATTTTGATTATCAGGATCAGGAAAAGATGCAGCTGACGAGGGACAGTTCAGCTCCAACTGAAGCTCACATAATGCTTCAGCCATGCTCAACGTCCTTGACCACCTACACAGAGGAAGCAAAGATTATAAGAAAAAGGCACATATATATTATCCAAACACCATACCAAGCTGCTACCCGGGCTACATGTCCACAATTTCACCTTTCATTAAACAATTGGATCATTCTCTTGGTTTCTTCAAAATCTTGACTTCCCTACTCAGCTTGCATAGCATCACTGGGTCGACTAGAAAAATTCTTAGCATAGGTTTATACTATATTGTCCGTTAATACAGCTACTAAATTCAACTACTCACTGGCAATTGCAGAGCAGCATACACTTCACCATGTCCTCAAACAATGTCGGCGATCTAAACACTCTCCCAAATCCTCTCTCCTTTGCTTCTCCACAGATCTCCTGAAACAATTTCACTCTTTTATTCTCTTCCACTGATAATCTCACCATTCGCCTCACTTGACCCTACATAACAGTAAAAGTAAAACCCAGCCAATAAACAAAGCCACACAAGGAATTGCATAAGGTACAAAATTTACACCAATACTTTCGGAAAAAGGAGTACCAGCAGAGAGCGTTGGTGTATAGTAGAAAGGGAATCAGTATCGAGAACACGTAGAAGGAGGGAATGAGGATAATCCGACGGTTGAGTAATTTGGACGAGAACCGATTGTTCGTGATCATCATCGTTAATGTTTTCGGAGAGGCGTAGTGGGCGTTCTAGGGTTTTGGAGAGAGTGTCCCATCGGTTTGGGGCCATCATGAATAAGCCGTGGCTACATACTGCTTTTTCCAAATCGAATGAGGCGCAGTATCCGTTTCCGTCTTCGAGTGGTAGCTCCACCACCACGCTGCGGTGGCGATCGATCTCTTGCCGGTGCTGCATTTTACTGGTTAGAGCCGTTGCAATGAGAGGAGAAAGAAGAAGAAATAATAAATCTGCAGAGCAGCATTATAGCCCCTTACTTTTGGTAAATGTTCATTTTCGCCCTATTTTTCTTTAAAAGTATGGTCAAACCTTAGTACTATTTACTAATCGATGCATATCGTGAAAAACGAATATCATTTAAACATACTTATACAAACAACTAATTAACTAAAATTGATGTCTTCAATTTCTATTGGCATTTACATCGTATTTTTTTTTTTGTCTTTGAATCATTAATCTAGTCATTTTTTAAGCGAACTTGTATTTATTTAAATTATAGTATTGATAATGTTTTGATTACTTACTTTTAGAGAAGTAATATGTGTAGTTTGAAATATTTTTAATGCTTGAAATTTACTACATATTATTGATTTATATCTCATATAAAATAATGCTAGATATTATAAATTTATGAGTTTGTTTAATTTCTGTTTTGCGTTTTATGCTTTTTTGTAAAATTTTGTATTAAATAAAATAAAAATTTATGAAGTTCACATTTTATGTCTCGAGTAAAATCAAAATTCAAATAAAGCTTAAATTTCATATCTCTGCTGCGTAGTAAGTAAAATAGTTTACCTCACATTCCTGCTTTTTAAAACTATAATTTTATAGATATAATTTAGATACAGATGCAATTAATTACTTATATGTTATTTTTACTTTAGACACAATAAAAAATATCAATTGTGTGTTATTTTATTGCTAAACTTTCACATATAACCACTAAAAAATATCTGATTACTCGTTATAGCTATAGTTTTTATTACAATTCGTAGCTATATGTTATTGGGAGGAAAGAGGCGAGAGAGAGGGCAAAAAGTGGGAGAGAGGTGAATTGTATATGTATATTGATTAGATAATTGTATATTATACATATGTATTTGTATATATGGCAGGCGAGATTGGGAGAAAGGAGCGAGGAAAGCGAGATTGGGAGAGGGAGGAGAGAGGCGAGTGAGAGAGGGGCAGAGAGTGGGAGAGAGGTGATTTGTATATGTATATTGGTTATATAATTGTATATTATGCATATGCATTTGTATATATGCCAAGCGAGATTGAAAGAGAAAGGAGAGAGGCGAGTGAGATTGGGAGAAGGAGGAGAGAAGCGAGCAAGAGAGCGCAGAGAGTGTGAGAGAGGCGAATTGTATATGTAATTAGTTATATAGTTGTATATTATACATATGCATTTGTATAAAAAACAAACGAGATTGGGAGAAAGAGAAGAGAGAGGCGAGCGAGAAAGGTTAGAGAGTAGGAAAGAGGTAAATTGTATATGTATATTGATTGATTAAATAATTGTATATTATACATATGTATTTGTATATTATGTCGAATTATACATATAGAAATGTAGCTAATTATACAAACTCGAAGTCAGCCACATAATTACTTCTATTTTATTCTAGGTTGAATACACACATAAAAATAAAAATAAAATAAAAATATTTAAGAAAAAAAAAGTAGAAGGGATGCTAGATCTCTACAAATAATTCAGGTGTAATATTGTTGATTTCATAATGACTTACTCTATATAGTACTTAAAATTGAGGCATTAAAAATTATTTAGTGCTTAAATTTTACGCGAATTATTTTTGCGACCGTTAAACAATTCCCGGTCTATATATTAGACGTCATTCATGAACAAACATAAATTTTTGACTTTTTGGAATGTTCAACTTTCGCCATGGCGCCCATTCTTGTTCTTCGCACTTCATTATTTTAAGGCGTAAGGCGGTCGCTTTAGAGTTTAAATGGAGTATTTGAATATTTAAATGGAGTTTTAAAGTAACAATCTTTATCTAGGAAGAACTCTTCTTGATTTGTACATACACGAATATGTCCTCTTCTTGATTTTTCATATGTTGTAAAGAAAAGATTTGCTTTCTTATTTATGTTAAACAACAATATTTCTTACCTGCACCCTTTAAATTCTTCCCCCTTTACGATTAGTTTATTAGGATGATGAAATCAGAAAGTGACATGGGGTTTGGATATTTGGTCAAAGTTCTTGATTTTTATCAAGAAACCTTCTTCTTGTTGGCTTGTTCTTATTGTTGGCTTGAGGAATCAGGGTATGTAATATACTATATGCACATTATTTTATTTGTCTTGACTTTGTTTTCAACAGGTTTTCTTGTACTCATTCTTTTGTCCATGCAGCGTGAAGGTAAAGGATAACTTGCTGGATATTAGGAAGGCGTTATTTACAAGACTTGCACTGGAATATAGTAGTTTTTCTTTTCAAACAAAAGGTTGGGGTTTTGGATGTTCAAGAAAAAGGTTTTGCTATGCTGGAAATGGGTTCAAGAAGTCATGTCTTCCTCCTGATTTTTGTATCCCAAATTCTGGCTATACTGGGACAAACAAACAGCAATGATGGTACTGTTTTTTTTTCTTTTCTGATTATCCATTTAAGATTACTTGATGCACTTTCTTGTTTTTCTTGGTTAAATTCCTACATGAAACTGTTTCAGATTTGATTGTGGCTGAGTCTATAACCTAGGACTTTGATAGCTAGACTTTGAGTGTATTCCAGATTCCTAACTGTTCAAAAGTACAAACAGCTGAATTGTTTTTGGCGTTCGTGAAATAGAAACTAATAACTATCGTATTCCATCCTGCATCCTGGGCGTCCTGGTTTATTCTATTTTTGGAGTTTAAATAAAGCATGTTGTTTTTCTTTCTTCGATGTCACATTTGTGTGGGCTGAATTTTGATTTGACTAGTTTTTCGTTGAACTTTGAGTTGGAGTGACTAATTCATCTGAAAAGTTTGAGGTGCCTACGGTCTCAGCCTATAGTTCTTGCTGATTGGTAGTGGACTGCTGGCACGGTTGCTATATGCATGCTTGTGGGAGCTAGTATATGGAAAAAAAATACCAAAGTTAGAGAACAGGAAGGGATAAAACTAAGTCATACAAACGATGAATGAGAGAACTTTATGATCTAGCAGTTCTTTAGCATTACTGGAGACTGAATGATGGGCAAAATGCTAGGCAACACATCCCAGAGGTACTCAGAGTCGTGTTTTCCTTGTTGGGGTCTTTTTCTGCCTAATCTCCCAATTTAGAACATAGGATTTTTTGAACTATTCTCTTCTTGTGGTTAGTTAACCAAATTACTGATCAACCGAAAAGACGTCCAAAGTTAGCAATGCAGATATAGAGTATAGATTAGCAACAAACTTTGAGGAAGCTGCTATACTATCTAAATTTATCGTCATGGATTTTCTGTTGAAAAAAGTTATTGGAGTACTTGTCGATTGGAATGCTTATTTAGTTTTGTGCTTTTTGTAAACTTGAGCTTTAAGAGTGCATTAGTAGTTAGTGAAACATCTACCTTTTTGATAGTACAGTACAGAGGCCATTTATAATTCCTTTTTTTATGCAGCCACTGCTCTATTTGCTCTTAAGTCTAGTTGGAATAACTTGCCACCAAATTGGGAGGGGTCAGATCCTTGTGGTAGCAGCTGGGCAGGACTTATCTGTGACAACTCACGTGTAACCTCAATGTATATCCTCGGTATTTCAAATTTCTGATTGCTCTGTAGCTTGCCTACCTTCGCTTCCTCATTGTTTTCTTTAAGTTTCCTTCTGCAGAAAGTTATCAGGCATGGGCTTGGAAGGCAATCAGTTTGGAGATCTTTCATCATTAGCTGCATTGCAAATTTTGTATGTTTTTTAGTTTGTTTTTCTGTCTTTGAATGTTAGGATATTGATGATAAGATTCCATAATCATTTTCAGTTTATGTATTTCTCCAACTCTTATCTGAAGAACAACTGTAGTTTCATGTAAAATCATCAAGAATGCTGCAGCTAGTTCTCAAAGTAAATTAATGCAATATCCATGTCTTCTTTGCAACATATATTAGTCTGGCCTCATCTCTTCTTCATCCCAAACTAATTCCTGCAAGTATTTGTAAGTTGTATACGTTCAGTCAAAAGATTTACTAAAAGGAATAATTTCTGCCATTCGGATAAGAGGATATCCACTGCTATGACTAATTCTAACCTGTTTCAACCCCCAAATTAACCTATTCAAATGATTTATCACTTTGCTTCGTTTATTTTAGCAAATTTGGTTTTTGAGGCACGCATAATGAATTTCGTTGTTGTAGGGACCTCTCAAATAATGTTGGTTTGAAAGGGACTCTCCCACCATCAATTGGAAATTTGAAGAATTTGACAACCTTGTAAGAAATCCAAATGACCACTCCAGTATGCTTTATATAACTGTACAGTCTAGATCCTGATTTCAGAAACTGGTCATTTTATGCAGAATCTTAGTTGGTTGCAGCTTCTTTGGTCCAATTCCAGAATCAATTGGTTCTCTGCAGCAGCTGGTTTTTATGTAAGGATTTGCTTTTCCAGTTTATCCATTTGCTTACCTGAAGTTCAATCATTAATTGCTTCCATTTTTTTTATCTGAAGTTCAATCAGTAATTGCTTCCTTTTTGTTTACCTGGAGTGAAATTATGCATTTCTTCAATGTCGGACTCTGGCAACTGAGTAATTATTCTTGCAGTTAAAAACAAGTTTGGTTACCATTTTTTTTTTTTGCTTTTCTTATCAACACTCCAACCAAATTAGGTTCAGTTCATGGGAAAGGTGTATTCTACATTATTAAGATTTGATTTCATTTGAAAACAATAAGTTGGCCGCAAGTGATGGGTATATAAAACAGGGATTCTCTAACCAATAACTTGCAACTTGACCTGCCTAGATTATGGAATTGTGCTGGAGTAGGATTCAGTAATTTGAAATTGAGTATTGGAACTTAGTGGTCCAGTTACTGAAATTCATCCCTAACATGTGAAGTAAATTGGACGAGGTGTGGCATGGATTTATTTTGTAGTTTTTAATGAAAAAATGCAAGCATCTTTGTTTTTTGTTGAGGATCATCTTATGGTCGTATAAACAGAAGCAGACGACAGAGAGGTCTTCTCTATTTCTTATTATGTTTCATTACATTCTTCATCTTTGTTTAAGGGTCTAAAATATATGCTCTCTTTAGCAGTCAGCTTATTCTTGACTTAATTTCTTA